GGATGGCCCCAGGGTTACCTGCTCCAGAGAGGTCTGCAGTGCTGAGAACTGTCAAAGGTACAGTTGATTTACTCATTGAACACCAGGCTGAGAAGACATCAGTAAAGCATTCTGAGGAAGCCAGATGAAGGATTAAAGAGTTATTAAAAAAGAAAAAAAAAAAAAGGAAAGAAAGAAAAATTTCCAGGAAAGCAATGGTTTTTCCAGTAAGTCTGGCTTTGAAAGAGAGTATGATGTAGGGAGAGAGCAGGAAAGTCACAGGGTTAAGTTACTTGGGATATATGGTATTAATGTGTTTACATTTTTCATTTACTATTTCTTAGTGATCAGAAGTGAGTGAACAATCAGAAAACAACAATTCCATGCAAGAGAGACCTGCAGGTCAAAATTCTCCTGAGAAAAACTGTCAGGTCAGACAGAAGCAGCTGGTATGGCACATGGATACTATGGTTCCGTGGTATTTGGGGAGCTCTGTGTGGGGATCTCTGAGCTGCCCTGGATTTGGGTGGGAAGGTGGCGCCGTCAGCATCCCACAAGGAAGATCTCTGCTCCCTCATCTTCACCCTGAGACCACCAGGCTGGTCTCAACTCGCCTGTATCCTCTCTGCCTCTCGGTTCCCAGTGTCCTGTGCAATGAAGTCCTACCCTTGGGCTAGTATACTTGTCAAGAATATGGTCAAGTATTTTCATTTAACAAAGCTTTGTGTATTTTCCCCATGATATGCTATCCTGGTTCTAAAACTTGGCCCATGTTAACGCACTTAAGCTACACGGCTCAAAATAGCCTGGGGCTAAAACTCCTCTCTAGGTCCTCCCCACCATTCTATACAGAATAAAGAACTTTCTCCCCCGAAGAAAGGAATGGACATTAAGATTGAGTACGTTCACCTCCCAGCAGATCCCAGTCTCAGGAATTCCTTACCCCGGTTGCTGAAAGCTAACTAATCAAAATAATCATGAGGAAAAACAGACCCTTCAAAACGATGTCTCTCCACACATGTATGTTTTTTATATATACCTGCTCTCTTCCTGACTTAGCATAGCAGCCCACTGATCTGACAGCTGCCCCTTCTTGCCTCATTAAAAGTGATCTGTTCCTGTAAATTGCCAGTCTGGTTCTTTTTCTGAACCTCACCTTCTCTAACTCCCTTAAGTTACCTTACAAAGACAAGATTCCATCGTTTTGCAAAAGGAGAAACTGAGTCTTAGAAGCAGTAAGAACTTGCTCAAGGCATCCCAGGAAGAGTGGCAGAGCCAAGGTTTGAGGAGAGACATCTAGTCCCTCGCAGAGAATAGTAGATGATGCTAAGCTGTGTCTATTGCACACCTACACCTAAACACAGAATTGTGTCCTAAGGTTGTTTGTCAAACAGAGCCATATACACCAACCAACATGAAATTTTAAACAAACATACCTATATTATTTTGGACTACTAGACTATTTTTAAGCTAAAAAAACTGCATAGAAAGCCCGAGTTTCTGTTGGTAATTTGTTTCACTGAAATTAATACACTGAAAGATTCCCTTTGGTTTAGAAATGTTGTATTTCATATATGTGTTAGCCTGAGTGTTTTAGGGCAACTCAGATTACTTTCTTCTAACAATCTGTGAAAGAGCATTGCTTTCCCTCCAGATTTGTGTGTTGCATGGTCAAATTAGTTATCAGGATTGACTGAAGTATCTTTATTACTTGTCTTTCCAATTTGTTGTTGTTGTTTAGTGGGTGAGTCATGTCTGATTCTTAGTGACCCCATGGACTGTAGCCCGTCAGGCTCCTCTGTCCATGGGACTTCCCAGGCAAGAATATGGCAGTGGGTTACCATTCCCTTCTCCAGGGGATCTTCCCCACCTGGGGATCGAACCCATGTTGCCTGCATTGCAGGCAGATTCTTTTCCTGCTGAGCTACCAGAGAAGCCCCAACTTTGAATTATAAATACTCCCAAACAGAATTTGAAAATTTCCACTAACATCCTAGAAAGTCATTGGAGCAAGATTTTTCTTCTTGCAGTCTGGCTTTGACTGAGAGGGGATCCTTCCGGTGGCTGTATTCTGACCCCCAGGGCAGTGAGTTTGGAGCGGGGCGAGGGGAGGGGATGGTTACAGGGTGATTCGAACTCGTTACCTTTACTGTGTACTTTATTTCTGTTATTATTATATCAGCTCCACCGCAGATCATCAGGCTTTACATCCCATATGTAGGGGCCCCTGTACTGAACTGTCATGCTGTTATGGTAAAAGTTACAGAAACTTCGTCTTGATGCAATGTAAAACAGATAAAACTATCAGGTTCTTCATACTAATTCATTTTATTTGTTTCATAGCCATAGATAGGGGCAGTTAAAATGCTTGGCATTTCAAAATCCTGGACCACAGGTAGCCAACTTTAATCCTGAAACAAGGCAGCAGAAAGTGCGAATCTCAAAGATGAATGAATATTTTTCCTTAAATGCAAGTCAGATCAAGATGTATTATATTTGATCTGTGGGATTATAAAATGCATGAGTTCTCCTTGACAAAGTAATTAAAGGTTGCCTCTTTTTTATGATTTAAAAATGTATTTTCTATGCTTGCTTCAGTAGTACGTATACTAAAAATGTATTTTCTAAAGTACAATATCACCCCATATGTCTGGAAGTTAGCAATTTCAAGAAATAGACTGTAATCCCCAATTAGGCATCAATTTTTTAAAAACCTGCCTCAGAATTCCTTGCACTGGAGTACTAGATATAGTCTGAAAGATGATTAAAATGAAGAAAGGTATATAATTATGAAGGGCTTCCCAGGTAGCTCTATTGGTAGAGAACCTGCCTGCCAGTGCAGGAGTCATAAGAGACATGGGTTCAATCCCTGGGTCAGGAAGATCCCCTGGAGGAGGGCGTGGCAGCCCACTCCGGTGTTGGCCTGGAGAAGCCTGTGGACAGAGGAGCCTGGTGGGCTGGGGCGAGCTGGACGTGACTGAAGGGACTTAGCGCGCACATGTCGTTCTGTAACCTCTAGGTGGCGCCTCAGGTGCTCCCGGGAACTCTGGTCCTTTGTGTCTCAGGGCAGGAAGAGTCCAGTGAGAGGCAAAGTGATGGATCAGAAGTGATTCATTAGAACAGGATGCTTGGAAGGGCTGTGGGCAGGCGAGAGGGTGCCAGGCCCGGAAAGGAAAAGTGAGGAGAAGGGAAAGACCGCCTTCTTCCTCTTTCTCAGCTGTCTCATCAGCTCCTCCCAGGCTGGGCAGGGGAGTCTTCTTGTCCCTACATGGTCAAGCCAGGACTGTCATGGCACTATGGAACAATTATTTCAGGCCTCAGTGCAGTGAGGGCCTTTCATTTGGAAATGTCCTCTTTCCATAAATTACTGTTTTTTATGTATCCAGAGAGCACGTCCTAGGGATCATTAACTTCCTGAGCTCCCTGGGCAGGATGTGGGCCTCCTGCCACCACTGTTTTATTGTTTGGGGGCATGTCTCATGCTGTTGTTGGATGGTGTTGTTGCCAAGCAAGGCTGCTTGGCTTTGTGGGTAAGCCAACCTGCTTTATTCAGTGATCGTTAACTTACAGGGGTCTTCCATACTTTCTTTACTTACGGTCCTCTAGTGAGGTTAACAGTTTAATCACCTACTTTGTCCCTTTACTCTGTCCCTTTCAATCAGGAGAAATAATATGCCCATAGGAATGAATTCAAGTATCAGAAGGGCACAGAATATCATAAATGCAATTATTGCTAGCACATCAGAGGCATAAATTAAGAAGACCATAAAGAAAAAGGTTGATATATTTGACTACATTAAAATTAAGAGTTAATGCTCTTTGCAAGATACCCTAAAAATAATGAGAGACATATCACAAGGTAGGATAAGTTATTTATGATCTAAAAGATAAGTATCTAAAGTATATATACATCAGTAAGTAAAACATAAACACTGTAAGAGAAAAATAAACCAAACAGTAAATAGGCATTTCATAGAAGAAAAGGCTGGTGAACACTTAGGATGCTGAACCTTCTTTATTGGTACTGTATGGAAACCATACAGTATTTTTAAAAAGCAGAGACATCACTTTGCTGACAAAGGTCAAAAGAGTCAAAGTTGTGGTTTTTCCAGTAGTCATGTATGGATGTGAGAGTTGGACCATAAAGAAGGCTGAGCAAGGAAGAACTGGTCCTTTTCAAACTGTGGTGCTGGAGAAGACTCTTGAGAGTCTCTTGGACTGCAGGATCAAACTAGTCAATCCTAAAGGAAATCGACCTTGAATATTTACTGGAAGGACTGATGCTGAAGCTCCAATACTTTGGCTACCTGTTGGGAAGATCTAACTCAATGGAATAGACCCTGATGCTGGCAGTGATTGAAGGCAAAAAGAGGGGTTGCAGAGGGTGAGATGATTAGATAACATCACCAGCTCAATGGGCATGAATTTGAGCAAATAGCAAAAGACGGGATCTTCACTGGCTGTAGTCTATGCTGTCCCAAAGAGTTGGACACAACTTAGCGACTGAACACCACCACTACCACCTAGAGGAGGCAGGCGCTGCTTGCTTCCCTTTTGGTCCTGCTTACAAGTGTGAACCCTGCTGCTAACATGAACCCAGCAGTTCCTGGAAGAGGGTCCCTGCTCACTTCACCTCTTCTTAGTCAAAGTGCCTTCACATCTCTCTGAACCTCATCTTCCCTAGATGAAAAAGGTTTGAGAGTCTCCGTTTACCGTGCTCTCTCAATCTGCCCTCAGCCTGTCACAGGCCCAGGCATAGAATGCCGGTCAAGAGGCGTTTTTCTTCTGGGAGCTGGCGGGTTCGACACAGGAAGCTCTGGCCCCAAGATCCTCAGTGCCCGTAATGTCCTGGGACTTGCCGGATTGTGGACTACAACTCCCAGTATGCTCCGAGCCCCGCCTTCATCCTGCCAGGTCTCGCTTGAAGTGACGCAGCCTCGGGAGAGTTTATCAGGGAGGCTGCCAGCCGCTGGTATCCTGTTCTCCCTCCCAGGTTAGCGTCTGGGACCTTCTGTGTCGCTTTAGGCACAGCGCCGCTCACACCATGGCTTGGATCCGGACTGCACAACAACCTTTCGAGAGACGTGGGTCTTTGGAGCCTCTTTAGTCCCGGAGCTCGGGCCGCAGGCAGCTCCGCGGCGGCGGACGGAAAGGTAACTAGAGGAGCCGGGCCTGGCCCTCCGGGGGCTCGGGCTCCGCTTTAGGAGGGGCCTGGCCCCCCATCCCCGGCCAGGCCCGGGCCTGGGGCCTCGTGGTGCCCTCACGCAGGCTGGCTTACTCAGGTTCAGAGCTTGGCCGGCCGCACCGTGCAGCTTTCGCTCCGCCTCCTCGGGGGTCCTCCCACCGCGGCGTTTCTCAGGGATGACGGCCCCGCAGCTCGGGCACCGGGCTTCGCCTCTATTAGGCCGGCCTAGTCCTGGACCACCCATCCTCGCCTTCAGCTCCCCAGCCTCCCCCTTGCCTTGCCCCGGGGAACCTTCATCTTTAGCCAGCCCCTGCCCCTAATCTCCGTAATCTCTCTTAGCTTCGCTGGGTGGAAGAGGCGGTTGAGTCACGCAGGCCGTTCACGTCCTAGTGGCGTTGTCTTCTCTGGTAAAGAAGTCAGAGCTCTGCGGGGGAGGGGGAAGGGCCGGCCCCGGGAAGCGAAAGGGGAGGTGCCCTTGTCGGAACGCTCCCTGGACTCCGGGGTTGACGAACTTTGGCTTCCGCGATGCTCTTTACTACGAGTTTGCCCTCTGGATAGAGGGGGGCAGTACAGCAAGTTGAAAAGCAAATAACGGCTTCCTCAGAGCTTTGTTTGAACTCCTCGGTAAAATGGGGCTGAAATCTGCCTTACAGATGGGCCGCTTATCTGTGACCTTGGACAAGTCACTTCTCCTTTTTAGTTTCTTCTAAAGTGGAGTAAACAATGCCTACTTTGCAGGATTGCTCCAAGGGTTAAAACACAAGATAAGGGTTGTCTGAGTATCAGTACTAGCAACAAGGAATGAATTTTTTGACTTGATCAACAAACGTAGCCCCTTGCTGCGGGTCAGGTTATTTTGACCCTGAGCCCTAACTTAACTGAAAAATGTAATGAGTATAGTATCTCTTTCTAGGTTGTTATGGCAAAAACATGAAATACAGGGAGATGTTTGGCAGACTCTGCAGGGCTGTGCCAACGCTGGTTGTTTGTTGTTCTCAGAACCTCTGGAATGGATGGACTCTTCCTGAGCAGTTTTGCTGATTTGCAGCAGCTGGACAATGTTCCTCATTGATACCTGTCTGTCGGCATAATCGTCACATCACCTCTCTGGTAAGGGGACCTTCTCACTGTGCCTCGTGTCTGTGTCCTGTCGTGGGTGTTGAGATCAGTGACACGCTGAGTCCTCTGACGTTTTCCTTGTTTGCTCCCTTGGCATGTTTGTTACTTGTTGGCTCTTTTACATGGTGAAGCCATGAAACGCTGTGCCTGTTGAAAGAACAGCATTGGAGCTAGTCTTTGCTGTTTGCTGTGAGAAAATACCCTTTGTTATTTTTATTAGGTGGCGGGGACTCGGCTCAAAATCTGTGTAGGAAAAACACCTGGATCCCAGTCTCAATGGCTTCAAGACAACCAGAAGTGCCTGGTAAACTTAGTTCTTTTTGGTAAAGTTATGTTTTACCCTTTAAGGTTTTAAACTAGACAGAAACCACTTTTTCTGAACCATATGTAAATAGTTACTGTCTGCTATTTAGACTTAATATTTAAATGATGCCAATCTATTATCTTATTAATATAATCCTATTAACTGATTAATATTATCTTATTATCACATTAAATCTTACCTTATTATCTTATTAACCCACCCAGGGTGTGAACCCAAAATCTAACTTGAAAGAGCACCCTTATTGCACTTGAGGGTATGACAAATTTGTCACTTTCCTATGTATCAAATCAAAATTCAGAGTAGTTCTTGTACCAAAATGACTAAACTCACTGCTTTTTTTTGTGAGGAGGAGGTAGGAGGTTGGGAGGAATGAAAGTCAAAGCAAAAAAGACTGATTTCAAGGCAACTTGAACTTAGTTATGAGAATACTGCAACATTTAGTGAGTCCTGGGTTCTTTACAGGGTGGTAATTTCTGGGTTAGTGAAGTCATTGATCCTTCCTTGGACTGTTTTAGTGGGAAGGGTTAGTGATTTTTAAAATCTGAATCACTCAACTTTAGAAAAAAATTTAAAAATTTGTTTTTCATCATTCTGGCTGCACGGGGTCTTTGTGGTGCGCGGGCTTCTTTCTCCTGTTGCGGCCCCTGCAGGCCTGCCTTGTGCCATGCATGGGCTCCAGAGCACGCTGGCTCAGCAGTTGCGGCCCGGGCTCTCTAGTTATGGCGCACAGGCTTAGTTGCCCCGTCACGTGTGGGACCTTAGTTCCTGGCAGGGGATTGAACCCATGTCCCCTGCACTGGACGGTGGGTTCTTCACCACTGAACCACCGGGGAAATCCCTGAGTCAATTTTTGATTCTCAGTGTAGGTGATAGTGCCTCTCAGGGTTACTGTGAAGATCAAACATAAAATAAATGAGAGTCAAAAGTTAATACTGAATAGTCACTTACTGCCCAGAAACATTTTTGCTTTCTATTTTTGGGAATATGTGTGAAAGTAGCTCAGTCATGTCTGACTCTACGACAGTGCATGGAATTCTCCAGGCCAGAATACTGGGGCGGGTAGCCATTCCCTATTCCAGAGGATATTCCCAACACAGGGATCCAACCCAGGTCTCCCACCTTGCAGGCAGATTCTTTTCCAGCTGAACCACTAGGGAATATATTTCCTCATAAATACTACCTGACTTTATTATTTTTAGGAAGGCTATTGGGATGTCTTTAAGATGTTTGTGAAATTGCTCCCAAATTAAGTGGAGGGATAGGAGTCTCCCCTCTGTCTTTCGATACAGATCCATCTTGAGTCTCAGACTTCTGTCAGCTTGTGCTTCCGTTTGTCTTTAATTGTGGTTGTGATGACTGTAAACTCCCTGTGGGCATCTGGGCCCCAGGGTTGCATGCACCAGGTTACTGCTTGTAGGGTGGGGAGCATGGAGGGTTGCATGGAGGGTGTGAGTCTGGCTGATTTCACCTCACACTTGCTAGTGGGGTGTTGTTTAGTTTAAGATCCGTGCCTCAGTTTCCCAAGCTGGAAAAGGGTAAGAATATCTACTTAATGAGGATTAGAAAAGATGAGGGGTGTAAGTGCTTACAAGGAAGGGTACTTGGTAATTGTTATTTGCTTATGTGTTTGTTTTGATTGAGATAATCCACATACCATACAATTCAGCCATTTTAAAATGAACAGGTCAGTAGAGATTTTTAGTGTAGTGACAAAGTTGTGCAACCATCACCACTGTCTAATTCCAGAATATCTTCCTCCCGAAAGGAAGCCTTGTCCCTTTAGTAGTCATGCCTTAATCCCTGCTGTGGCTCCTCCCTCCACCCAGCTGCAGGCAACTACTTTCTGTGGATTTGTTGGTAATTGTTGTAAATCATAATAATAAGGGTAACTGCTGGTCCCGCTCTGTTTACGTAGAATGTCTTTGCTAGTTTGGGACTTAACTGCCATACTGGTTGACGTCTTGGAGAGAGTGATTGTGTAATTATAGCAAAAGGAGAATGTCAGCTTGAAGGCAGGCTCAGGCATTAGTCCTGGTTTGAAAGGATCCGCAAGCAGTGAACTTTGCTCCCTGGTCTGGCACAGCTGAACTCCTGAGGTGGGCAGTCACGGCGGGGCGTTCCAGTGGACAGGAACAGCAGGGTCAGCCGGCAGTGCTTTGTGATTGTCAGTAGTTTCTGGATGGAAATCGCCTCTGCTCTTTGAGTCATAAAGAAGATTTGAAACTGCTTTGGATGCTGCTGGACATCCAGTGAGTCCAGCATGTCATATTGCTCTTGTTTTCTGAGGTGGGGTAGGAAAGACGGGATTTGCCACCTCTAAGCCTTCATTTACTCATCCATAATATAACGTGGGAACAAAACTTCATGATTTTTGGGGGGCAGGGGCGGGCCATGAGGCTTGTGGAATCTTAGTTCCCTGGCCCTGAATTGAACCCGGGGCCTCAGCAGTGAAAGCGCCGAGTCCTAACCACTGGACTGCCAGGGGATTCCTCAGATTTCATATCCTCAGTTTCACCTGAGTTGAGGTGCTTGGGATTGCCACGGGGCAGCTTCTGTGGCCTAAAGAATACGAACTCTGAAATCGGGTGTGTTTGGGTTTTGATTCCTGAGTGCACTTTGAAGTTATGTGACCTGGCTCAGGTAAATTGAGTTGTTTGTTTCCTAGTCCATAAAGATGGGTTAGGGCCGCTGTGTGGGTGAAGTGGAGAATCCACAGCGGCAGGCCGAGAGGAAGGGCTTTGTCTGGTGTCCTTCCCTTGCCCGGGTTCTCTCTTCCAGAACCAGCTGCTATTGCTTTGTCCCAGAAGAGGTGTTTTAGAGCCTTCCTGCCTACAGACGAGTTAATTTAAAGCTACCAGTATGTTCAGCTGCTGAACCCATCCTCACTGGTGTCTCTGTTCTTAGCTCTTGAGCCTAGTGGGCCTCTAGGCAAGATGTCCCTGCCCATCGGGATGTACCGCCGGGCATTCAGCTATGATGATGCCCTCGAGGACCCTACGCCCATGACTCCTCCTCCATCGGACATGGGCAGCATCCCCTGGAAGCCAGTGATTCCAGAGCGCAAGTATCAGCACCTCGCCAAGGTATCTGACCCTGCTGAGTGCCCTGGCAGGCCCAGCCCCTTCCTTCTCCTTCCTCTGCTCCTGGAGCTGTCGGTGGCTCCTGGCACCCAGCGAAAGGGGCAGCCGCTCCTCTCTGTACACGGTAATGTTCTCTGTGGGTTCAGTGGGCCTCTTTTCCTGTATCATTCAAAACTAGAACGGCCGTGTCTTCTCCCATCACCCGCCCTGCCATCGCCACAGTATTGAGTCCAAGCTCCTTAGTCTTAGTCTGGCTTTGCATGATCCCGGTCCTCTGAACACCACGCCCCCCACACGCCGTGATCCAACCTTGCCACTTAACCTAACATTTCTTGTATTTGATGCCCCTAAGTCTTTGCTTGTCACTGCTCCGATTGCCTGGAGCAGTCCCAGTCCCCACCCTGTCCTGTTCCATCCGCCTGACAGAGGGCATCCTTTAAGTCTTAGCTCAGTCCCTTCTGTGATCTTCCTCTGTGCTCCCAGTTAAACCGTCACCCCTCCTTTTCAGGTCCCCAGTGTACTTTGGATCCCCGTCACCGCCCCTGCTGTGTCACTGTCACCCTCTGTTAGCATCCAGGGGGCAGGGCCGTGTCTGATTTGTACTCCATCTGCCGGATCTAGAGGAGGATGTGGCAAAAAGCTGTTCATTGAGTGGTTAGAAATCGGCTCTTTGCTGAACACGCGCTGCGCTCCTCCTGTCTCGGGTGCCCTCCCCGGGGAGCTGCCGCCCGGTCGGCCCTCTGCCGCGGGCACACGCCCTCCTCCGCGCCCTTTGTGCAGCTGGGCTCATGGTTCTTACGTGCTGGCTGCAGGCGCGTTACTGGAGCCTCTGCTTCCAGACTCTCACCTCTAACTTCCCAGCAACCAAGATGCCGGAAAGGCGGCCCCCCTGCCTGCATTAGCGAGGCCTGCCCAGTTCAGGTGGGTCCTCACCCGCACCTACAGTCGCGCAGCACCGAGGAGTCTGTGACCGCTCGGGTCCTGAGGGCAGGTGCAGCCCCGGGGGTGAGCCCCTAACAGCCTGTGCCCCACCCCCGAGCCAGCGTCTCGGTAAATACTGAGAGATGAGAGTTGTCACGGCGCTGCTGTGGGGTTAGAGAAGAGACAGTGGGGAGGCTTGTCCCGTCTTTGCTGTGGAGCCGACGCTGTGACTGCGGCTCCCAGCCCACTTCTCTTGGTAGAGCCGTATCTGAGTCTTCCTTTCTTTGAGGGTGCCCAGCCCGCCCCGTCAGGCTCTCAGGATGGGGTGCCTGTTGCAGTCGCCATGAAGGAGCCCCCTGCAGCTCCAGGGCACATTGCCTACATTAGTCATCCAGCAAAATCGGACCCAGTCAGTTGTTGAGGTGGAGACCTCTGTGTAACACATGCTGGCAGTACCAGGAGAAAAGGGCCCTGGCATCCTGCCTGGGACGCCAAAGCAGCAGACTCACGGGACTGGAGCAGAAAATCAGGGCGGCTCCTGATGGAGCTTAGGGCTTGGAAGGTGGCCCACCACCCTCTTCATCTGTGAAGGCTCCTACTTGCTTCACGAGGCAAAGAATGTGTGTCCAGTCTTCGACTGCACACTAGCTGGGACAGCTGACGTTTGGAACAGCCGCTGTCCACCGGGAACCCAGCCCGACTGCATGCATGCTTACACTGGTCCTAACTCTCCACACCCTAGGCATCCGAGTCCCCACCCTCAGCTGTCCTCCAAGTGAGGAAGCAGAGGTTTAGGTTTTACTTGAGTTCATTAGATCGTAGCTGAGAAGTTTAAATCCTGTTTTGTAACAGGGATACAACATTTCAGTGCTTCCTTCTACTCCCCTCCTTTCTGACCATCTTTCTTCTCAGTTCCTTTGGAGAAGCAGAGAACAAAGAGGAAACCCACTTCTTTGCTTCCAGTCAGCCCTGACTACCGGGTCTAGTGCTGAGATGAAGGAGGGCAGCGTGCTCCAGCTCTCACGTTAAAGATGACGGGCTGTGTAGACTTTCCAGTTTGTTTTAACAGACCAATATTGGGCCTTTAGAGCCGTGGCCCAGAAAGGGTGGCCTCAGGCACCTGCAGCATCAGCATCCCTTGGGGATTTGTTGGAAATAAAATTCTTGAGCCACAACCCAGACCTACTGAATCCCCTCCGGGTGGGGCCCAACAGTCTGTTTAACAAGCCCTCCAGTGGATTCTGGTCCTTGGCAAAGTTTCAGAACTACTTAGTAAATGCAGTGATTAATTAAGCCAAAGCAGACATGGTGCTTGGAACACAGTCAGCAGGTGTTAGTAACAGGTGTTTCTTCTGCATCCTTAGGGCCATGGTAATACAGTGTATTGGACACAGTCTGGGACGACAGTAAAGCCCAGAGCTGCAAATTCTGGCCCTCCCGCATCTATGAATATATAAATACAGGCTCTTTGCATCACGTCACATGTGTTGTCGCTGTGCATCCTATATCTAACCGGGTGGGGACGATAGCCCCTTTCCCGTATGTCCTCATGGATCTGACCGCCGTGTGCAGCTCACGCGCCCCTCCCCCTCTTGAGCAGGTGGAGGAGGGAGAGCCCGGCGTCTCCCCGCCGGCGGCCAGCGACAGTGAGAAGGCCCCTGTGGTGAAGGCCAAAGCTACCCACGTCATCATGAGCTCTTTGATCACAAGTAAGCCTCTGCGCCCTGGGAATAGAGTCAAGGGGGGCGGGGGAGAGCGGGGTTCCTGCAGCCTGCCGCAGTTCCTCACCAGCCCCGCCGGCTCAGCCTGGCTGCTCTGGCGGGACCAGTGCTGAAGCTGCCTTGAGGTGGGAGGTTTACCCAGCGCTCAGCGGCGCGCCGCGCTCCGCTCCAGCCTTGTTCCCCCTGTGCGTCAGCGTGGCCTCGGGCAAGTTGTCTCAACTGTGGCGCCTCTGCCCCCTCCACGAGGCGGGGGTCTGGCCGGCAGCAGGCGGCAGGATTAGACAGCACAGCGCTTGGTGGCCAGGGGTGGTGGCGGCGGCTGCTGCTGTCTCGGGCTCTGCTAGAGAAGGAGACCCACCGAGGCATCGCCCGCCTGCCCTGCACGTAACTTTCTTAAATGAAATGGCTCAGAGTTGTTCCTTTTTCCTGGACCTTGAGGCCCCAGTCTTTAGTCTTAAGAATATGTGATTTATGGTCCTGATAAGACTAGAAACAAGATAGCTTGAATTAAAAAAAATCCTAACAGGTTATCTAAACTCAGTGGTTCTGGAGGGTCCTTCTAGTTGCTGTGGGAAGTATACAGAGTTCTGCTTGTCAGCAGCAGCCTCTGCCAGGGCAGGGCACCTTGGAAGTCAGAAGCCCTGTTTATGTCCTCTGGGAGGGCGTCAGTTAGCCTTGGGCAATTCCTGAAGAACTCGCTCAGGAACCAAAAGTCCAAACTCTTACCTGGACTTTTTTCTTATTCACACAGAAATGCACCGTTTGAATCAGCAGCTACTGCTTGTATTTTGCAACCCTGAGAATGTGTCCTGGCAGTGTTAAGAAGCTTAGTCATTGTTCTTCTGTGCAACAGAACTTCTTTATTGAAAACACAGCTTTCCAACAGCATAAAACATCATCATATATATTATTATAACTCAGATACTTATATTTGGCTTAGTTGTGTCCACCTGTAAGCATATTTTTATATAATTGCAGGTATAATAAAACATTTTATTTTTTCCAGTTAATACTGCCATGAACTTTTGATGTTGCTATAGTCTTAAAATTTTTTTTTAAACAAGCTGCATTTAAATTAGTGTATTGTATTCATTAAGAAGTCCTTTCCTGCTTTTAAAATTTTCAGGTGACTGCCTGGCAAGATTGGAAAACATCTTTATACATTAGTGTGTGTGTATGTTTTCCCTTGCTTCTATTTCTGATGGAAATAAACTAGTCCCTTTGAAGGGGAAGAACTAAGTCATAAAGGACCTGTGGCATCTGGACTTTTGGTCCACAGCTGCCACATTCTCATCCATGAGGGGTGTATTATGTAGATTGTACAGATTAAGCAAAAACCCCACTGCCGTCCAAGGTATCGCTGACATTGATGATGAGGTCATCAGATGCCGTGCCCGGCACTGTGGTGGACAGTTGCACACGGACATGGGAAACACTGCATCAGTAGACCTTGGCTAGTTCAAGGCACATTCTCTCCGGTTTGGACCTGATTGCTACCCTGGTGGTATCTGGCCTAAATGTGGCCTGGTTTCTCTCTGGGCGAAGGTCTTAGGGAGGGTGGTGAGTCTGTCCGAGAAAGCTTTGTGTTGGAGAGCTTGCCCTGTTTCTGCATGTCAGCTGCCTTTTCCGTGTTGCATTTCTAAATATTAATGCACAGGAAATGTCCTGGGGTACAGATGAGAGGACGGTAAGGAGAGTTTCCTGGAGTCATCTGGCTGTCTCTTTAGGAGTAGCCTGCTCTTTAGCTGCTGTCAGGGAGGCTTCCTTCTGCTCAGAGAGGCTTTGTGGGAGATTCAGAGTTGCTGCTACGACGCCTGTCGGGGGATCCCCTCTGAGATGGCCAGTGTGAGCTCTTGCACCGAGGAGAACAGTGGATATCTGCCGATTTCCCCCAGTCTCGATGGGAGAGGGGGTGGCCGTGACTATATCTCCTCTGTCCCCAGAACAGACCCAGGAGAACATTCAGCGTTTTGAGCAACAGGCAGGGCTGCGAGATGCTGGCTACACCCCTCACAAGGGCCTCACCACTGAGGAGACCAAGTACCTTCGAGTGGCAGAAGCACTCCACGTAAGCTTGTTTCCTAGGACGGAACACACACCAAACCCTCATCATTTATGGCTGAGCCTGGCTGAGGTTCACACGTTATCAGCTCAGCTAGTTGGGGGTTGAGGAGAGTGGTGGGGAGAGACTTGAATGAGGAATTTAGAGCTCGTGTAGTCCCCTTGGAAAGTTGTCGCACTTTAGCTGGGCTCTTAACCTCATTGTTTCTGCTTATCTGTCTATAAAGCTTGGGTTGCAGGGTCAGATGAGATTCTGGGCTTATCCGTGTGAACACATGATGAACAGAGCCAGTGTGGGTCACTCTGGGTACTAGTGAGCGACCGAGGGTGAGAAAGAGTTGGGCAGCCTCAGCAGAGGTAACGCTGGCTGGGGAGGAGTCTCAGGTTCTAATTTAATTTTAAAAAATTAAATTAAAAATTAAAGTGTAGAATTGGGATGTTTTTGCTCTTTCATTTTTAAAACTGGAACGAATGAATTGTCAGTAAGGCTTTTGTTGTTTAGTCACTAAGTCATGTCTGACTCTTTATGACCCCCTGGACTGTAGCCCACCAGGCTCCTCTGTCCATGGGATTTCCCAGGAGAATTTCCCAATATTTCCCAAGAATACTGTTGAGTGGGTTGTCATTTTCTTCTCCAGAGCCAGGGATTGAACCCACATCTCCTGCACTGGCGGGCAGATTCTTTATCACTAGGAAGCCCCTTCAGTAAGGTTAATAATGACCAAATAATTGTATAAATAAAATGATTTTCTTTCAGGGACTATCACTTTATAATTAATGCTACTTTTAAGATTTATCAAGCACTCATATTCACTTCATCTTCTTAATCCTCTGACATAGACACTATTACCCGTGTTTTGTAAATGAAGAAACAGGGGTCTGGGGTTATGTATTTAAACATCCATAGTATCTGAGCTCAAATCTCTGGATACGCTATTCCCTGTGGATTCTTTCTCATATTCCAAGATCTTCTGAGAATCTGGCTCCTGCAGGGGCTTACTCGGAGGCATATACACAATATATAGGAGGAGGAATGATGGAGTTAGTGGCCTGTGGCAGAGATGGAAGACGCTGTAGACGATGGTTGCATTTTGTAATGAGCATCCGGATGATTTTTGCACACTACACTTAAAACTGTGCTGTCCGGGAGTCAGCGTTGGCTTGGTGTCCAGCTGAAGCTCTGACAAGACAGATGCTTCTGGAGAGGAGCACGGTCAGCCTCTGACACTGAGAACTCTCCAGGGTTAAGTGTCAGTCTGAATTCAGTTGCACAGTTCCCCCCATGTAATCATGGAACTGAATCTGGCACATTATCTGCATCTTGGCCATAGGAGTAGAACATGAGGATGGCTGAGATGCCAGCTCACATAGTGTCATGTGCTGAGGATGGAGAGGATTCACACATGGGCACCTGAAGCATAGCCTGGGTGTTGGCGTACTGGCCACGGGGCGTGGAGACGTGTGGAAGCCTTGCCCCAGGCGCTTGTCTCCCCCGGGAAACTGCTGGTCTGTTGTTAGGCGCCCGTTTACTGCACCCAGAGCACCGGGGTGACTGGGTACGGGAGGGCGAGGTTGCACAGGGAGCGTTGAGCTGGAGAGTGGCGTGCTGAGGCTGGGCGTAGGAAGAGCGGGGAGGGGAGCTGAGGAGGACCTGCTGCGGGGCTGCTGGCTCCTCCACTTACTGGCTGTAAATGTGAGAAGTCAGAAGCTCTAGTGTGAAGTTAGTACAGAGATGCTTGAGATGTGTTTGATGAAAACATGTTTTTAAAAGATGGACTTTTATCTAGATGGCAGAGCCTGAAGGATATCTGTCCTGTCATCCAGATGATTGCACCTGTTAACATTTCCTTTTCATGAAGTTAGTGTGAACCAGGTTGTTTACACCCTAACTTAGCTGTTTTGTATTTGCTATGATTTTTACAAAGTCTCTCTCCTTAACCCATGTGAGCAGAAACTAAAGCTCCAGAGTGGAGAGACAGCAAGAGAGGAGAGGCAGCCAGCCTCCACGCAGTCCACCCCGAGCAGCAGTCCCCAGGCCTCTCCTAAGCAGAAGACCAGGTGAGCCCCTCCCCGGACCCCAGCAGCTGGGGCTAAGAAAGGCTAGTGTCCCCTCCACACCGGGAGCTCAGCCCGTGGCCTCCGAGTCAGGAGGGGGAGCTGGTGGTCCCTGGCCTCAGCAGGGACCACTTCTAGAGTTGTAGCAAAAGGATGCGTTACCTGGCGTCTTATCCTTTCTCTTCCAGAGGCTGGTTCACTTCTGGTTCTTCCACAGCCTTACCTGGCCCCAGTCTTAGCACCATGGATTCTGGAAGCGGGGATAAAGACAGAAGCTCGACCGATAAATGGAGCCTCTTTGGACCAAGATCGCTCCAGAAGTCTGAGTCAGGTAAGGTACCCTCTTCACTAAAGAAGGCAGCGTGGCAGGCGTTTGACCACGTATGCTGGTGGCTGCTGGCAGATCTTGAGATCGTCTGCTCTGTGGTTTGCTTCTGCAGGAGGCTTTGCCATCCAAGCCTACCGAGGAGCTCAGAAGCCTTCTCCAATGGAAGTGATGCGCGCACAAGCCGCCCGAAGGGTGGAGGAGCCAGCAGCGTCCAAGCCGCCCAAGATGGACATCCCAGCGACGGAAGGGACGAGACAGCTGCCGCGGGCCCACAGCCTCAAGCCCCGCGACCTGAATGTTCTCACACCCACTGGCTTCTAGAGCTTTCTGTCCCAGGGACGCGGCATTGAGGGTGTCACCCAGCTCCCTTTACCGTGGCTGTGACATAGGAAAAGTTTTGTCTTTGTGAAAATCAAGCTGAGGCTAGGTGGAGACATAATTGGTTTTTGCGAAACATTAGTGCAAAGCTTATCCTTGTGTGGAAAAGCCATTTTTGTATTGCTCTAGCTTTAGACTAAACTTGAGCAGTGATGTATGGGGACATCCCTAGAACTGGGCCACCGCTTACTAGGTGACTCTCTGCGATGTTCCAAAACCAAGGCTTCAGGATTCCTTCAGCACTGTCCAGATGTGCATGGACAGACCACGGCGTAGGGACGTCCACGGACGAGTGCAGGCGGCTTCGGCCCTCGCGGCTGTGCTGGCGCTGGGTGCTCCGGTCTGCTGTTAGGGAACCCTCGACCCGCTGGAGATGTGGGTGCAGCTTGGAGCCAGCCCGGCAGGGACCCCCCGTTTGTGCTGGCACCAGCCTCCTCGCATTCTGGGGGACCTCACGGGCCCCTGAGTCCCGCAGCCAGCCCTTCCTCTGGGACCTCTGGGGCCCGTGCTGCGGGAGGGGTGCTTCTCTTCTGCGTTTCACAGAACAAACACTAGTCTTAACATATCCTTTGTTGCACTTTAAAGTGAGATTAATTTAACTTCCATTTGGTTGAAAACTTCCTAAGGAGAAAATTCAGTCTACTGGCTTGCTATAGATAAATGGATGTTAAACTTTTTAAAAAAAGAGGTGGCAACTGCGGTTTGGATATAGTCTTGAGGTTCATATGAAACTAGTGTCACTCTATTTTGATTTTCTTGTTCAGGCTAGGGCTTGAAAATTTTTTTCCTGGGAGGTGGAAGAATTAAAATATTTCTGTATGCAATCATTTTCCCCTCAAATGAGCCTCATACCTTTGTAAACATGTACCTCACTGAGGAAAGGAACTGGGGAAGCCACTTTTTCACTTCTCTTCACTGTGTACATGTACAACCACTGTCTTCAACGCTGTCTCCCATTCCTGCTGTCTTTTGCTTTGGACGTTATTGTGTCTACTCAAGGAGCTGAGCTGACCTTCCCCCAGAGGCACCCTGGAGTCTCAAATGATCAGAATTAATTTATTTGTGTCTTCTGTTATGCTTGTATCTCTTACTTGTTTTGACAATAAAAATCCTTACTACTTTCTCAAATGTAGATGGAAGTTTTTTTTCATTAAGTTATTCCATTCTGCCTACTCAGTCATGAAACCTAAGCATGATAAACTTGATGTTTTGAAACACCATTGCCTTTTTATTGTATCCTTTTAACATCAATTTTTTTGCAGCACATTCAATACTTTTGTTTCTATCCCCCTTCATTACATTAGGTCTTAGTAGACTGGCCACAAATTCATAGGCACTATCACAGGTCCAATATAGGATGTTTGTTTTCCATTAGGGAGACAAACATCTTTCTCTTTCGAAACTGGTTCTCAGTACCTTGAATGACGTAACATTGATGTGTAGAATTTGTTCAGCACATGGATTCTTTTTTTCACATCCTGAATGGAAATGTTAAACATATAGTGCATACAGTACTACCTGTTTCAAAAAAGGTATACATAAATAATTTATTAAAAAATATATACACCGTATGTATTTAAGTCATATCTGAGAAGAGGCTAGGACAGGGTTGTTAAAGATGTTTACTAAAGAGTTAGAAAGTTATCATAGCCTACAGATAAATAAGGTAGGTTTGGTCCTGTTGGATTTTAAACTAGTTTCTATACTTCTGGGACCTCCAAGCAGCTGGAGGTGGAGTTCAGGAGGTATTCTTGGTGTTCAGGGCCTCGGACGACCTTGGGCTGCTCCGGGCCTACGGGGGGGCCTCTGAGTCAGGGTTCAGGTCTGCAGCAAAGAAGAGCAGGAGCTTGAGGAGATGCACCTTGTCCTGCAGCTGCGGGACGAGCGGCTCCCCCAGCATGTGGACCAGGCGGCTGCGGAAGGCCTCGATCTGCTTCTCCACGTCCACCACGGAGATGTCGTCCCCCTGCTGGGGCTTCGGCTTGATTCTTTTGATTATTAAGTCTTTCCGGTCAATCACTGAGCTCCGCAAGTGCTCTGCAAGAGGGAAAAGTCAATGGCACTGTTCCGAACGACTTTCCATTCCTCTATGACTGGGGAAGGTGGAATTTTGGTAGGTAGGGTCTAGGCAAAGATTTGTTGATGAGTGACTAGGCTACAAGTCAAAGGCCCATTTCTGAAAGGTCCTTTGTTCTGGTTCTCTCTGACCTCAGGTTTTAGTATTTAAAAAAAAAAAAAAGCCTCGCTTTTAGTTCTTTTTCCTTTGTTGATTTAGACAACGAACCTATATTAAATAATGAAACTATTTCAAATGGATATAATCAGAAAACTATTCTTGGAAAAGAATTGCAAAGAAATATTAAAATTTACGTGGTTTGTTGTGATTTTGGTTTATTGTAATTCTATTTAAAAGAATCCATTTTGTATGTATTGCAGGATAGACCAAATGGATAAATATACTCGTGTTGTTGAGAATAAAGTAAGGGTTCTCACTGTGGGAGAAAAGATTGAGTTAAGGAACAGGAAGAGGAAGAATTCTATGAAAGTGGAAACAGGTATCAGTATGAACTTGTTTTTTTTTTAGAAATTACGTAATTTACTAGCTCTTGTCAGAAAGGGCCTAGAAGCAATAATAACTGATGGCTGTCCCAGGAGCAATCAGCGCACTTAGCACCTAGTTTAGTTGGTTTCTAAATACTATTTCCCACTCCCCACTGAACGATACCAGAGCTCTTGGCAAAAAGGCTGATTTTAGATCATGGCAAGGAAGTTACAAGGTGAACCTGGAACTCTTCTTATAAGAAAGTAAGGAATGCTTAGAAACTAATGGGCACATGTAAGAGAGGTCTTGTTGGCCACATTTTGAACAATATATGGTAAATAATGGCCCCCAAAACGGGACTATAACACACTGAATTTTAAAATGTTCCAAATCCATAGTAAATAAGAATGAGTGCAGGGAGAAGGGAAAGGTCATTTTTACCAGAAGGCCAGTTAAGAAATGTAGAAGGAATACATAACTAGAAAGGGACCATTTTTCAATCTACTAAATCAGTTCAGTAGTTCAGCAAATGAAAGGCTGAACAGGATACTGAGTCTCAAAGTTTTACCCTCTGGGAAGACAACAATAGAGAATTCTCATAGACACGCCTTGACCAAATGGTCCAACTTAACATCAATGAGACCAAACTGATGTTACTGCCTTTTGAAGGGGTGGACACCCTCATCTCTTCTGTGTTCTTGCTGATCATGCGAGAATAACTAGACAACCCCAATTGTGCAGTGTTCTATGAAATAACTGACCTGGACTCTTCAAAAATGTCCCATCACGAGAGACAAGTAAAGGCTGGCAGCTGTGTTACATGACAGGAGGCCGAAGCGCATACCAACCAAGTACAATGTGTGATGTTTGCCTGAATCCCGACCCAAAGCAAAACTAAACACCCGTCAAGGATATTGCTGGCACATATTAGATAACATTCTATCAGGGATAAAATCAGTGGCATAGTGAATAATGGTATGTAGAATATTCTTAAGCTGAAGTATTTAAGCATGAAGCATTATGATAGTGCAACTTACTCTTAACTGGCTCAGCAAAAAGAAGCATGTGGATGGATCAACAGATAAGCCAAATACGGCAAAACGTTAACAGCTTCTGAATCAAGGCAAAGGTTATATGAGTGTGCATCGTACTGCTCTGTAAACCTTTCTGTAGGTCCAAAACTAAAATGCCGGGAAAAGTAAAAACTCCTAAAAGTAGGCATTATGAAGCCATGGCTCAGTCCCAGCAGGGCTCTGGCAGCGTGTGGGACGGAGGCACACAGGGTCACGTGAGGCAAACGCAGCGGGAGGGCCCTGCGGGCCTTTTGAGTCCCAGCTGCACCAGAGACCGCGCAGCGTCATTTTCTCCATCTCATTTATAAAAGGGGGTAATGGCACCCTCATTAACAGGGTTCCTAGAAGGACTGAACTACAGGGTCTAGAAATTTGGGAAACAGAATCAACTGGAAAAAAAAAGTGTACTAAACAGATTGTAGAATATCCAGAAAGTCTGGGAACAGGAGGCACAGCTGCACTGAGATGCATCGTAGGGGCCCTTCCACATTTAACCAACGTTCACAGTGAGCGCCTACCCTGCCTCTGGGACAGGGCCAGGCTCCGGGAGACAGTGGGATCAGAGACCTGGGCCCAGCCCTCACGGACTGACATTCCAGCCGCACGAAGCCTGACAGTGAACCAGTCAGCAGAAACAGTTGTGGCTTTGGTGAGTGCAACCAAACAAACTGGGTGCTGTGATAACAGGAACATTGCGGATACAAGGGAAGCGGTGCATTCTAGTTGGGGAGGGTGTCTTAGTTGAGTCCCAAAGGATGAGGAGGAGGTAAGCATGCCAAAGTCTTATGGAAAAGCAGTCCATGCAGCGAGAAAAAGTGCAAATGCCATGATACAGGAAAAGCTTGACTGGAAAACGAGAGGTCAGATCTGGGAAGTAAGAAGGAAAACAGGACTAGAAGAGACTGGCAGGCAGCCTGCTCACAGACCAATGTGAAGTTTGTCTTCTCCACAAGCAAAAGGAGGGGTGTGAAGGGTTTTAAGCAGTGACATGTGCAATACTTCAGTCTGCTCCTGGGAAGCATGGCCACAGGGGACAGAATCCTCTTAGCAGAATCTGGTTTTCTTAAAGCATGTGCTACTCTGAAAAACAGGAGAATGACTGTGAAATAACAGAAAGGACTGACTGCAGAGAGAGGGATGGGAGACTTGGGAGCAAGAGGAACTCGGAATCAATACAGGAAATTCAGAGAAGCGAAGGTCAGCAGTGCCCACCGAGCCACTGCCCAAGGGGAGGAAGTCCTGGCCAGTGGACTTGAACCATCCCGGCCCAGCCGGCGGGGCCTTGGACTTTATGCTTCAGTAGGGACGAGAGTTCTCACTGCAGAGGCTCTTGGGATTGTTGTGTGAGGCAGTTTATGCAAAGGGCTTATGTGGCACAAGGCCTGCCTCAAGATACTGGGGCTGGTAGTGCTGTTACTATGTCCTGGATCAATACTGGGGCTAGCGATGATCATTTGTCAGGGTCATCATCACGAGGACCTCCCATCTAACAGTCCCCTGGAGCCCTTCTCTGCAGCTCTTCCACACACTGCCCTGTCAGTACTGGCGGAACCCTGGGTGTCATCTTCAGCCCCAACATCCTTCAGAGTGCTTCTGCTCCACCACTGGGACCCCACGGCATCACCCACGCCCTCGTCACCATCACCCTCCCCGACCTCTCGAGTCCTCGGCCAAGCTGTCTGCCACACACGAGGCGTTTTGCTGGGTTCCCTTCACTCTGGAACCAAGGTGAATGAGCTCGCTAACTGGAGGGCCCTTCGCGCCCACTCCTGTTTAGGAGTCTAGGTCTTGTTTCCTGCTGCTCTCCCCTTGCTCACTGAATCCTAGTCCTACTAGTCTGTTCTATGTTCCTTGGACTCATTAAGTAGCTTCTGGCCTCAAGGTCCCTGGATATGCTGTTTCTTCTTTCTGGGAAACTTTGCCCTCCCTATTTGCCTGGCTAATACCAGTACTTCACATTTTAGTCTGAGTATTCCTCCTTTAGGGAGGCCTTCCTGAGTTCCTCCATAAACAATGTAAGTCCTACTTTTTCCCATCACAGCATTTATTTTCATTGCAATTATGTTACTAGTGTGATGGTTTGTTTACAGCCAATCACTTCACCAGACAGTTAAGCTCTAGGAGGGCAGGGGCCACGCTGGTCTTAGACACTGAAATTTTCCCAATGAGCCAGGCACAGAGGCGGCGCTGGGTAAATATTTGTTGTCTGGAGGAATGTACGAATGAACTGATGGTGCCTGAGTCTGCTCTTCTTCCCTCTGTGGGTGAGGCCCCTTGCAGGAAGGCTTGTGTGAGACTCTCCTTGGAATGGACAGGTGTCTGACTTCCGCATCACCCTCAGTGGCCCAGAGTGAAATTCAGGAAAAGCATTTTGTTCATTTAAATTCCATATGTTTAAATTCCTAGATTCATAGCTTTAAAGTATATTCTAATTACTCACATGCATCAGGAGAACTCACAGCATATGGCAACTCGTAATTCTGCTGAGGCTCGGACTTGAGTTTCACGGCTGTGAAACTGGGGTGTGGGGGCTCGCTTCCCTCAGCTCAGGTGACAGCCCAGCATCCACCTCTCTGGGGCTGCTGTGCCCTCTATGGGAACATTTAAAAAATGTGGGGGGTTCAAGATACATTGCTCCCCAAGGTCAAGGGTCAGTATGAGAGTAATTTAACGATGTATATAGAGAGTTTAGGAAGTGGGCATCAGAAATTCCTTAGAACCTCATCTAATCTCATCCGGGATTTCACAGAATATTAATCTCCTCCAGTGTGTTTCCACCGTACACAGACTTTGGCAACAGACCTCAGTTTGAATCCTGGCTCTGCATGTGCCTTCCTCTCAGCTTTTGTTTGCCCATACGTGAAAGGGGGTTGGCACTCATCTCACAAGCTTACTGGGTCAGATAAGCCAGTGTATGTGAATTTATCTATGCCCCCTTCCTCTCTTCCTCCTTAGAAGTTCTAAACAAAGGGCAAACGTGGACTCCCCAGCCTCTTTCTTTCCTCCCCCGCCCCTGGAGCTGGACAACTCTCTGTGCGTGCTCAGTCGCTCAGTCATGTCTGGCTCTTTGCGACCCCACGGACTGCAGCCCGCCAGGCTCCTCTGTCCACGCGATTCCCCAGGCAAGAATACTGCAGTGGGTTGCCATGCCCTCCTCCAGGCGATCTTCTCCACCCAGGGATCGAACCTGTGCTTCCTGAATTGCAGGGGGATTCTTTATCTGCTGCGCCACCTGGGAAGCCCATTGGACAACTCTGGCTGACCTCAAAACGCACTCAATGACATCCTCCGCCCACTTGAACAGGGCAGAGATGACTAAGGAGCCGTTGCAGTAAAATGCCTCCTGATAAAGACACTGACTATTTCAGGGAACCATTCAGTTCTGTTCTTTGCAGGACACTATTTTCAAATTGCTGGTTCTAAATATTTCTTCTCCTTCTTAACTCTTTTCCAAAGAAGCTGAAAAGGATGGTAAGGATAAAATAGGATTGAACACCCCATTTATTCTTGGTTAGTATACACTGGTCTGAGAGCTTCCTCTCCCTTATTCAAGGCAGAAGAGAATATTCTGTAATAAAAGTAGATCCCATGTCCACCTTAAATTACTATTGCCCATGACCCAGGTATATTCCCTGGGAAACAAAACAGAAATGAACAACAAGTATTAAAGGTGAACTTTAAACAAAACCAAGCTGCTTTAATATTAAACTTTCTGCTAGATCTCCAAAAGAAACAATTACATAAACCTCAGTGAGGCTGAGGACACATGGAATTTGCCTTGGGGCTTTGTTCTTAGAAGGACAAAGTAAGTACCTTACTTTGAGCATGTTAAAAACAGCACAAACCACAGAGCCACATGTCATGGCCCTGACGGTGCTCTGTTATGTTTTAGTTACAAGCGTCTGAAACAGAGAGGACCCTTGTAGCATCCTCCTGGCCAGGCAACAGGCAGCCTGAAAGCCAGCTAACGCTGACTGAGCACCTTCTGCTTTATTTCATGCCTATTAGCAATTAGTCTTGGCAAGTTATGTATTATCATCCCCATTCTATAGAAGGAAGAAACTGAGGTCTAGAGATATAAAATGAGCTGCCCAATGCAGAGTAGGTGACTAGGTGATGGAACTGGGATTCAAACCCAGACCTTCTACATTAAATTCGGTGCTTTTAGTTTTTTTTTTAATCTTTCTGTAATACCTTCCTCAATTCCAGGAACAAGAGGGTGTACGGACCATCTTATCTTCCCAAGAGCATTACTGAGCTAAAATCAACCTCAATATGATCATGGCAGGTAGCAGGTAGATCATGTATGTGTGTATATAGGTTTGTGTATATATATATATATACACACACACACACATATATTTGCAATATATATATACATATATATATATTAAGGACAGAATAAAGGGCAGAAATAGCAAGGACCTAAAAGAAGCAGAAGAAATTAAAAAGAGGTGGCAAGAATACACAGAAGAACTGTACAAAAAAGGTGTTAACGACCCAGATAACCATGATGGTGTGGTCACTCACTTAGAGCCAGGTATCCTGCAGTGTGAATCCAAGTGGGCCTTAGGAAGCATTACTATGAACAAAGCTAGTAGAGGTGATGGAATTCCAGCTGAGCTATCTTAAATCCTGAAAGATGATGCTGCACTCAATATGCCAGCAAATTTGGAAAACTCAGCAGTGGCCACAGGACTGGAAAAGATCAGTTTTCATTCCAATCCCAAAGAAAGGCAATGCCAAAGAATGTTCAAACTATCTTACAATTGAGCTCACTTCACATGCTAGCAAAGCAATGCTCAAAATCCTTCAGGCTAGGCTTCAACAGTATGTGAACTGGGAACTTCCAGAGGTACAAGCTGGATTTGGAAAAGGCAGAGGAGCCAGAGATCAAATTGCTGACATCTGTTGGATCATAGAAAAAGCAAGGGAATTACAGAAAAACATCTACTTCCGATTCATTGACTATGCTAAAGCCTTTGACTGTGTGAATCACAGCAAACTGTGGGAAATTCTGAAAGAGATGGGAATACCAGATCACCTTCCCTGCCTCCTGAGAAACCTGTGTGCAGGTCAGGAAGCAACAGTTAGAACTGGACATGGAACAACAGACTGGTTCCAAATAGGAAAAGGAGTAGGTCAAGGCTGTGTATTGTCACCCTGCCTATTTAACTTATATGCAGAGTACATACATGTTGGATGAAACACAAGCTGGAATCAAGACTTCCAGCAGAAATATCAACAACCTCAGATATGTAGATGATATCAATATAATGGCAGAAAGTGAAGAGGAACTAAAGAGCTTCTTGATGAGGGTTGAAAGAGGAGAATGAAAAAGCTGGCTTAAAACTCAATGCTCAAAAAACTAAGATCATGGCTTCCAGTCCCATCATTTCATGGCAAATAGATGGGGAAAAAGCAGAAACAGTGGCAGATTTTATTTTCATGAGCTCCAAAATCACTGTGGTTGGTGACTGTAGCCAGGAAGTCAAAGGAAGCATGCTCCTTGTAATAAAAGCTATGACAAACCCAGACAGCATAGTAAAAAGCAGAGACATCACTTTGCCAAAAAAGGTCTGAATAGTCAAAGCTACGGTTTTTCCAGTAGTCATGTATGGATATAAAAGTTGGACCATAAAGAAGCTTCTTTTTCAGGATCCCATCCAGGATCATGTTTTGCATATAATATTCATGTGTTTTAGTTTGACTTTAATCTGGAATAGTTCTTCAGTCTTCCTTTGTTTTTTTTTCTTCCTTTGTTTTTAAGATATTGGGACTTTTGAAAGTACAGGCCAGTTAGTTTGTAAAAGGCCCTTCAATCTGGGTTTGTCTGATGTTTCCTTCTGATTAGATTCAGGTCATGAATTTTTGGCAAGAACATTACCTAAGTGATGAGGTGTGCTCAGGGTATCACAAGAGGACTGTCAGTTTTCTCCCCTGTAAACTTACTATCTTTCCTTATGTAATTTATAACCACGTTAGTCTTCCTAGGGGCCTCATCAACCCTTGGCTGATCAAATCACTCTTATCTGAAGCACCTATTCCACCACCATCCTTGTCTATATTCGCCCCCGAGGGTTAGTTGACTAATCAGTCTAACTCTCCCAGATCCTCAGGGGGTTACTTGCTTTGCCTGTGACTGGGGCAGAGCCACTTTCACAGTCTTACATCGTTTGCAAGATGTACATTTTTACCTTGCCACTGATTTTCTGTGTATTTGTATCATACTGACAGATGTTTACAACATCCAAGTCAGTGAGCAGTAGACCCAACAAAGATTCTGCAGTGATGGGCCAGGGAAAGCTGCCAGGGCTGTCAGGACATTACTGAATCTTGCTCATGTTAGGATGACTTTCATTTACCCACGCAACCCTAAGGACTGTGAGGAGCACTGTAGCATCTGCCGTAACAAAAACACTTAAGTGAATTCCTCTGTTTCAGAGCAGCGATTCCAGCTATGTCCTTTCTCATTTCTTGCAGTTACACCAAGGAATAATGATTTACTGAACTTAATAGAGTCCCTTATGTGACTTTAATTCATAATAATGTCCACTGCCAGACTCCCACACTACCTGATTTGTGCCCAAATGCTCCTTACCTCTTAAAACATGCTGGTAACTGGACAACAGAAACTGCAGGTGCTCGACCAGCTCATCCCATTTCTGCCACTGGGTTTTATCCGACTGCAGAGATAGTAAAAGCAGTTGGTAATAAATTCTTTCCTCAGTAAGAGGTGTATACAGTTTTTAAGTAACTTTTATAAAAAGCTCCAGGATTAAGGAAAAGGTGGTCTAGGCCTGGACTGAAGTAGGGAAAACGTACCTGACACTTGAGCAGTGATGTGGAATTGTTCAGGAAATAGAGGGCCTGGGCCAGAGACAAGGGGAGGCGGGTGGGCGTCTCACAGCTGTGGAGAAATATGATTTCCAGCACTTTGCAGCGTAGAAGGTGGCTTTCCATGGTAGTAAAGAACATCTCTCTGCATGGAGAAGAGAGAGAGTGCACCATCGCAACTATTGTTTCAAGGAACATATACCACAGTTCTCCCTGAATGCTCTAAACTTTGCCTAAACCAGAGAAGGCTAAGAAGGAACACAGTAAAGGCCTGCAAAATCACAAAGCCTGTGGACAGGGCACAAACGGATTCGTTCATGAATTGACACCTGCCAGACCGGGGGCGGGCAGGGGTGGGAACTCCTTGACGTCTGAAAGCGAAAGACTAGTTTAGGACACTTAAAGAAGAGTTACAGCATACTCTAACCAAGAGAATTAATCATGAGATTAAATGTTTCTGAATGGCCATAAAGTGCCATAATTGGCACAAATGAAGAATATTATTAAGAGAAATAAAAGAGGGTATTGCTCTCGAAAAGCTGATGGTTGAACAGGGGAAGAAGTGTGCAACAGGAACCTGAAGCGCAGGGCGGGTGTACACACGGTGCGGCGGTGCTCCCGTGACGTGCACGGGAGGACACACATGGTCAGGGGCTGGAAGCACCTGACGGGGGCGGTGGCGAGGGTGACAGCGGCCGAGGGGAGTAAAGAAGGCCCACGGTAAGCAGCACTGCAATGCCAGGAAACACACGGTGACAACCAAGGAGAAAAGACACACATCTGGGGCACCGCGGCCTTCTTCCATTTCTGAGGAGTCCCCGAGGGACGTGGCCAGCGAGGGTGGGCGGGAGCACGCTCAGAGGCCTGAGAAGAGAGCTGTAAAACAAGGGCTGAGCTTCGGGAAGGTGAGTCCCACTCACTGTTCTAAATGCAGTGTCGGCTCCCCCCCAGAACGCGATGGATCTCAGAGGCACAGGGTGCATCTCTGGACTGCCTAAAGGCTGTTGCCTGAAGTTTTGGTTGGTGGTTCTTGCCAGGTCTGCACATCAGAGCAGTTTCTGAGGAGTAGACAGTGAGCAGATAAGGAGATGGCAGCAGATATCAGGGTTCTTTCTTCTACAGCTGCCCCTTTGCAATGGGGCAACATTTGGAAAAATAGGGGGCTCTTTGTGCCACTGCTGCTTATAACAATGATAAATAACAAAGTACCTCTTTGTTTTTATTTTCTCCTTCCTTTTGCTTTTGCTGTTCCACCAGACACGTGTTATTAGTGTAAAAGCGAAATTAAAAAAGCAAAATAAGTACTTTTAAAACCTTTGCTTCTTACCATTCTAAAGCTTAAAAAAAGTCTAAAATATTTATGAAAACCCATTTGATCTCTTTAATGTATTTTTTAGTACCATTCTATACCTCCTCTGTCAAATTTTCTTTAATACAAAGGACAAATTATTACATTCATAAGATATTCTCCAATTTCTTTTAAAGTCTAATTTCTACTCTGCATTTAGTGTATGACTTTCACAGACAGTTGTCCTGTTCAATAACTTTTAATTTCAAACTGTATTTTCTCTTCCCAATTTTGACTCCAGAGCCTGCATTTGTCCTGGGTTTTATAATCCAAGATGGCAAACCCAGAAATATACAAAGGACAAGAAAGTAATTTTAATGTGTTGGACATAGTAGGAAATGGAAGTACAATTATCTATAGCAATTCAAATTCAAATTTTAAAAACAAGATAGAGAGGAAGGCTAAACTTCCAGGTCCAGCCTTAACAAGTATATCTGGTGTTAGATTTACTCTTTTATCAACAATTATAAACCTGAACAAAATATATAAAATAACTATTTTCAGGCATTGGATAAACTACTACAAATGACTATTGTTCTTGAGAGAAAGGGAAACAAAGGTGGTGAACTCCATGTTTACACCAGATTTCCTGCTGGGGGCACTTTCTAACTAAGGCCAAGGAAAGTATGGGTCCTAAACAGAAAGCAGTGGATCTGCTGGGCAGAGCAGAGACTGGAGGTCAGGGGAGCTGAGGTGGCTGGAATATCTGTGACGGTCCCCCTTGGCACATGGACAGGGAGATAGCCAAAGCCTGGGGTAGAACAGCTAGTGAGGGCTGTGAGGTGAATGGGGATTCAGGAAAGTGCCCAGTGTTGAGAGAGATGAGGTTTCAATGAACTAGAGGAGAAATCTCATTGAACATGCTGGGCATTCGGGTGCAACCCCAGAAGACTAAGCTATAGAACATTAGTCTCTTAAGAAAGGCTGCTTTAGAATACCCTTACAAGTCCTAGAAACAAGCTTCAAAAGAAGAAAGCTAATCTGCTAAGAAATCACTGTCTGTCAGAATGAAAGTCAATATTCTTTAAAGGAAGTCAGCAAATTTCAGACTCAACAATGGACCATTCATAATGTTAGGCATACAATAAAAAGTTACTAGACGAGGGATAAAACAGGAAAATGAATCCATAACCAGGATCAAAATGCCCACAGAAACAGACTGATGACACAAATGTTGGAATTAATAGACAAGGACTTTAAAACAGCTGTTAAAAATATGCTCAAGATTAACCAACCAACCAACTAACCAAGATATATGAGTGACTAGATGGGGACTCTTAGCAAAGAGAAATGGACACTCTACGGATGAACCAAATGGAAGCTCTTGTTCTGAAAGATATAATATCTGAAATTAAAAAAAAAAATCCATCGGATAGGCTTCACAACAAATTAGGCAGCACAGAAAAGAAAAGAAAAGATCAAGGAACATGAAGACTATACAAAGTGAAACAGAGAGAGAAAAAAAGACAAGTCAAACAAAACAAAACAAACAAACAATAGTAGAAAACACCAGAGTCATAATATTCTATGGAACAGTGAGACACAGCCTAGCATATATGTACTCGAAATCCCAGAAGATGATGAGAATTCAGGCCAAAAATGTTTTTTAAATGCCCAAGATATTTCAAAATTTGATCAAAAATATCAACTCACAGATTCAAGAATCTCAAACCCCAAGCAGGGTAAACATAATGGAGACTACGACTAGTCACCATAACCAAGTAGACGGAAAAAAAAGCAGGGGCCAGAGGGAAAAGGGGCACACGACATAGAAGGGAACAACAGTGAGAAGTTCTAATGACTTCTCATGAGCAAGCCAGAAGAAAGCGGAACATCTTTAAAATAAGTAAAAATACCTAGCAATCTAGAATTTATATCAAGTTAAAACACTATTCATATATGAAGGTGAGATAACAAATAAACAAAATAAACAAAAGCTCAAAGAATGCATTACAAGTAGACTTGCAGTATAAAAAATATTAAAAGAAGTTAAGTTCTTTACATGGAAGAGAAATAATACCAAATGGAACTTGGATAGTCAAGAAAGAACACCAAACATGGTAACTGTGTGGATCTGATGTGTGTTTTTTCCAACAACACTAAGCGATTAACCCAGTTTTGACACTATTTACCATAGCGTCAGATTCTGCAGATTAAGGGCTCAGTCCTAAAGGCTGCCTCGCATTCCCTCTTTAGATACCAACCCAAAGTCCAGGTTGTCAAGCTGTGCGCTTCTGAACCACACAGCTACAGACGGAAGGTTCCCAGGACCCCCACTGAGCTTTGATTAATCTGCTACAGTGGCTTACAGAACTCAGATAAACCCTTTGCTTACTAGATTACCAGTTTATTACAAAAGGTGTAACTCAAGAACAGCCAAATGAAAGAGATGTATGTGTAAGGTACGGGGAAAGGGTGAGGCACTTCCATGCTCTCTGGGTACACCACTCTACAGGCAATCTCCACCTATTTACTAACCCAGAAGCTCTCTGGACCTAGTCCTTTGGGGTTTTCAAGGAAGCTGCATTAGACAGGCATGGCTGATTAAATCAGTGACCATTGGTAACTGAACTCAACCTCCAGCCCCTGTCCCTTCCAGGGAGGAGGGGGTGGAGCGGGAGGAGGGAGGGCAGTGGAGAGCTGGAACGGAAAGTTCCGCTCTCTAATCACATGGTTCCCCTGGCAACTGGCCCCCATCCTTCAGGTCCCCAAGTGGTTTTCTGAGAGATACCTCATTAATGGAACGAAAGATAACTTTATTACTCTCATCACTTAAAAAACTCCAAAAGAGCTCTGTGCCAGGAACAGGATGAAGGTCTCTCTCAAACACACACACACACACACACAAGTGTGGATGGTAAAGAATCTGCCTGCAATGTGGGAGACCCAGGTTTGATCCCTGGGTCAGGAATATCCCCTGGAGAAGGGAATGGCAACCCACTCCAGTATTCTTGTTGGGAGAATCCCATGGACAGAGGAGCCTGGTGGGCTATAGTACATGGGATCTCGAAGAGTCAGACACGACTGAGCAACTAACAACCAACATATAATGCAAAAATTGCACTCTTTGGCATTTATTCCAGAGAAATGAAGATTTATGTTTATTCAAAAATTTGTACATGAATATTTATAAAAGCTTTATTCATAATAGCCCCAAATTGGAAGCAACACAGATATCCTTCAATGCGTAAAATGGTTTAAAAAAAAATACCAAAGGTATACCCATACTATGGAATACTATTCAGCAATAAAAAGATACCACAACCTGAATGAATCCCAAGAGATCTATGCTAAGTGAAAAAGCCAATCCCAAAAGGTTACCTACTGTATGATTCCACTTATATAATCTCTTGAAATGATCTAATTATAAAAATGGAAAATAGATAAGTAGTTGCCAGGGGTGGGGTGGGAGGGGAATGGGTAGGGTTATAAAAGGTCAAAAACAAGAACATTTTCTAAAGTAACCAAGTACAATGACCAAAAAAAAAAAAAAAATCAGAAAATTAATCTTAATGCAACAGTATTATATTAACCGTAGACTTTAATCAGATTCTTTTCATTGTCCTAATGTTGCTATTAATAGCAAAAGAAAATCGCAGGTTACGCACCGCATTCAGTTGCCTGTTTTTTTCAGTGTCCTTTGGTCTGGAACAGTTCCGCATTCTTGCTTTGTCTTTTATGACACTGACATTTTGGAAAAGTGCAGTTCAGTTTTTTTCGTAGAACATTTCTCATTGGGAATTTCTCTGATATTTATCCATGATTTGATGGAGGTTATGCATTTTTCGGCAAGAAGACTACAAAAATGTTTCATGCATCCTATCGAGCATATGATGTCAGTTTGCCCCACTGCTGGTGTTAATTTTGATTACTTGACTCCATAGTAATTTTTCACTTCATAATTGATATCTTGTGAGAATATACTTTCAGACTATGCAAATATTTTGGTACTCCACAAAATTTCATCATTTTAGTATCTGGTCATACCTGAATTAATTCTTATTATGGTGGATGCCAAATGGTATTTTCCCCCCGAATTCATCATTTCTTCTTATATTTATTAGTTGGCTTTCTACTATAAGGAAGAGAGTCCCTTCTCTTCCTTCCTATCAGTATTAGAATCATGGGTTATTATTCTACACAACAGTTTATAGTCTTTTACTGTCAATATTTATTTTGACACTCAAATTATCTCAGATTTAGTCAGTGGAAGCTCTTTAAGCTTCTTTTGTCATGTTTTGAACGTTCTTTGAACATCTCCTCACTTTCTGGATCAAGATGTTCTAGGCTCGTTTTACACGCTATCTCAGCTGTGGAATCAGGCATTCCTTAACAAACTCTGGTTCCTTTCAGTGTAAACTAGTATTTAGGAACAAAGGTCTGCGCACTGCTCCTAGGGTGTAGCTGTTCCTATGCTCTCTTAGTGGGTAGAGGTAGGAAAGAAATGTACGAATCCACACATACACACACATAATACATGTATGAATGCTCACACATCTATATTTATTCCTGTATCTACCTATTTATTAGAAACCACAAGCTCATATTGATGCCTCCAAATTCAATCCAGCACCACAGCGTTCCTTCTATCCTCTCCCCTTTTCATATGTGCAACTCTCTTCTCTGACAGTGAGAAACTTGGCTTTCACTATCCACAATACATTTAAGTGTTTAATCCTAGAATACATATAAGATAGTGTTTAAATTGTTAATACTTCCTGTGAAAAAGAAATTTACTAACTAGAGTTTAATATTTATTTACACTTCATTTGTTTGTCTTTAGCCTGAGGGTATTTAGTCCAAATACTGCATTTTAACTTACTTGGATGCGCTGGGGAAGATGAATAGTTATCGTAAAAGGATAGTACAAGGGATCTTTGTGGTGATGGAACAGTTCTGCATATGTTGATTGTCTTGGTGATTATATGAAGCTACACATGTGATAAAACTGCTTAGAACTGCACATGATGAGTGCAATCTGGATGAACTGGGTGAAATCTGAGCATGCGCTACAGATCATGCCAGTGTCGCTTTCTTCTTTGTCACATGTTACAGTCATGCAAGATGCAGTCACTAGGGGAGAAAGCGAGGGTACAGAGCGCCGCTCCTACCAGTTTTTGCAACTTCCTGTGAACCTTTATTTAAAAATAAAAAGTAAAGAAAAAGTTGCTTGGGTTTTTCCTCCCCCCAACTCTCTCCCCTCAGCCCCATTTAATTGAATAATAATTCATTTAAAACACAGGTTAATTTCTGTCTGTTTGTATTGTTTGTTAGGCTACCCTCCAACTTCCTCACTGATTTTTTTTTTTTGAGTATATAAAACATTAACATGGTTCTGAAAGTCTAAAAGTTATAACTATACAAAAAGAAGTATACTCAGGGAGTACTAAACTACCAATACCACTATTAAGGTCATTATCACTAGAGCCTAGCACCCTAGCTCCTTTCCAGCCCATCTATCCCTATATGTAAGCAATTTGATTGAGTCTGCATTTATCTTAACTTTCTTTTTTTACAATTATAATCATGTATATTAAAAATTTTCTCATTCTTATATGTATATTTATTATGCATACTCTATGTATTTTGCTTTGTTTACTTAACAATATATTTTGGGAAACAGTTCATTAAAATTTTGCTCCTATTTTTAATATTTACTTTTTTATAGCTACATCTTCATTGTGTAGATGTACCACAGACTTTCAACCACTGTCCTATGTATGGGAATTTGGGTTGTTTCTAGTATTTTGAAATTATAAACATGCTGTTGTGAATATCCTTTTTTGCATATATATTTTCATATTGTTAAATGTGTATCTTTAGGATAAACTTCTACACATGATTTTTCTGGGTCAAGAGGTAATGTACATTTAGCTTTGTTAGATATTGTAAAATTCCACCACACACACCCCTGCCTCCCACCAACCATAACGCTTGTACCATTTTGCATTACCACCAGGAATGTATGGGCACCTACCTGCTTTCTCAAACCTTCACTAACAGAGTGTTTTATAGTACTTTAAAATTTTTATTACTTGTATAGGTTGGAAATAGTATCTCAGTGTAGTTTTAATTTACATTTATTTTTTATATACATTTCTTTATAAGTGAAGTTGGACATTATACAAAAATAAAATTACTATCCATAGTAAACATAGATGAAAAAGTCCTTAACAAAATATTAGCAAGTTGAATCTGTCAATAGAAAAGAATAATATATCACAATCAAGTAGGGTTTTTTATTCCAGGAATGCAAGGTTGGTTATAATATGAAGAAATCAATCAATGTAATTCATCATATCAATGGAATAAGGGAAGAAAAACTATGATTATTTCAATAGATGAACAAAATACATTTTATATATTCAAATACCTATTCTTCATAAAACACGGAATATCTTAGACAAAGAAGGAGGCCTTCTCAATCTGACAATGGGCACCTAGGAAACATCCACAGCTAATATTATACTTAAAAAGACTGAATATTTTTCCTCTAAAATCAGGAACAAGGCAAGGATATCTGTTCTTATCACTTCTCCAACATTCTATTGGAGGTATCAGCCCTTGCAATAGGGTAAAATGAAGAAGGAAAAGGTATACAGATTGGAAAGGAAGAGATTAAATTTTTTATTTGCAGACAATATATTGTGTAGGTAGAAAATTCTAAGGAAATCAGAGAAAAATTCCTACTAAAATAACTGAATTCAGCAAGGCTTCAGGATTTCTACCACTATCAGTGAGCCACTGGAAAATAATAGGTTACATAAGTTTTACTTTTGTCAAAACTTTGGAATGATACCTATGTAAATTAGTTTATATCATTTAACAGAATGTAAACTATACATAAACTTTAAAAGATTAAAAGGTAAGGCCATATAAACTATCTTCTAGTATAATTTGGGGTGGTTGCAAATTTTCCCTTCCTGAAAAGTTTTAATTAGGACCAGGTTTCATTTAAGCTATTTTTGTCTATGTTTAGTTTAAATTTATTTACAGTTACCTATTCCTTAGATTTCCCATCTCTCACTAAAATCTGGGCATAAATAAATAAACAATATGGAAGCTGGATCCAAATGAAATACTAACAAAGTGATAGAGCAAGCATGATATTTATGAATGCTTCCTTCTGGCTGACCACTGTAAGTACTGCCTTCTTTGAACTGACCTTGGAAGTAGGAAGTCCTAGGTTTAAATCTGGATTCTAAATCTGATTAGCGATGTAAACTTTGGCTAGTTATTTAACTATTTAGAGTATTTTTCTCATTTGTTAAATGGGAACACCATTATAAAGCTTTACAAAAACATGGGATAATTAATGTAACAATGATTGGTGCATTGTACGGATCCAATAAATGTTTGTCTTAATCTTAGCAGGATAGTTTAACTAAATCTTGACTACAATTCTATTTGGAATGACATTTTCTTCTAACAGAGGAACCAGAAACGTACAAGAGTAGTCTTGGCCACCACCTGGGAGCTTAGGGGTGGGGTGGGAGGCAGAGAGGAGCTGACAGACACTCCCTCAAGGGTCGCCACCCTACGGCGGCTCTCCCCTGGTGAGTCCTGTTCCAGCAACTGTTCACGAAATTACAGTCACGATAGCTTATTTTCCCTCCTTTGGGTTCTAAAATTACTGGTTCAAAGGAGGAATCATTGGTCCTAGCCAACTCTTATTTCTTTGTCTCTTCCTAATGGAATGCTTCACTAATTAATTTCACTTTAAGAGAAAGTGAATTCCTTATTCCTAATAACTGGGCTCATTTTACAGGTACAACTGTATTCATTCTTGGATCAACTCTTCTTCCCCTCAGACGGACAGGCCTATTTCACCCAACAAGACTTTAGTAAACATTTATACCAGGCTCTATGGCTGAGGGTCAGAGAAGATGGTAGTGCTTAACAGCTGAAAACTTGAGGGATAAATAAAGTTATTAGACAAATGGATAAAGTGGGAAATTTAGGCTGCATTTAAGGTAAGCTGCCTCTTCCTAAGAAATTATGCTTTAGTTGCAAATAATAATTGGTTGAGAAACTATTTCTTTCAAAAGCTTAAAGAGACAGGAACTATTTCTCTACCTTTGCTCTCCCTAATTTAACTACTGTTTGGAATTTTCTTTTGAAATTATGTTCCCAGATCAAAAAATAAAACTAAGACTCACCTCTGACTCCTCTCAGGAATGTCCAGCACAAACCCAAACATCATTTCGGCAATTTTATTGGAGCTGCACGTGGGGGTCCTGTCCACCTCAACAGCGATAGACAGCATCCTCTGGAGCTGGCATACAATCCTGAGTCCAGAACACAGAACACAAATGAGTGGGAGGGTCCCTGCTGGCTGGGATGAGGTACCCGCCGGTGTACTAAAGGCTCTTGTAAAGCACACACTAGGTCAGGGAGAACTACTCAAGCATCAGCATGCTTTTATTAGCAATTTCACCTACCTGAATCCCTCTTGCCAGATCATACTATCAACCTCTCAGAACCTGGGGTTGCGCTGCAAAAGCAAGCTGCTTTTAAATTCAAAAATAGAAACATATAATCTTTTTAAAAATATAGTTGCTTATCTATTTATTTTAAAAAAAATTTTGGCCATGCCATGAGGCAAGTGGGATCTTAAGTTTCCTGACCAGGGATCAAACCTCTAGAACCTTCCTCAATCTGCCCCTGCATTGGGAAGCATAGCATCCCAACAACTGGACTGCGAAGGAAGTCCCTAGGAACACATAATCTTAAGGATCTAGAGAACTTTAAGGATATCTAACCTAAAGCCTCTATATTCTACAGATGAAGAACCAGCTCCAGAATGACTAACAATTATCTGAATTTCTTTGATAGGAGAAAATGCAAATTTACTACATAGTTTTCTCCTGTTACTGGTTCCTTTACAACAATCTTTCCCTAAGTTCAGTGTCAGAATTTCAACTGGTGAAACATGACCCTCTCTCCCATCAGACCTAACTGTGGGAGAGACCCAGGTTGAAAGAAGGAATCTGAGCAACCCCTCAAGAGGTGAGCCTCGCCTGAAGCTAGCCTTTTCTTTTCAATGTCTCATTTATTTTTTTTCCCAATTATTTTTATTAGCTGGAGGCTAATTACTTTCTAATGTGCACTGTTATTTGTGAGGCAAAGAAGGGCTCTGTTTGCAGAAAATCTGCAGCCAGGGACACAATAGGAGGACCAGAGTCAGATCAGATTCTGGCTCTGCAATGACAAGCTGTTCAATTTTTGACAAATTACTAAACTGCTCTGAGGCAAAACTCTCTTATCTCAAAAAAGGGGAAATAACACCACCTATTTCAGAAAGTTGTGCTGAGTAAGAGATCTGGCATATAGGTATTAGTTAATGGTAAACAGCAGTGCCTACTGTTGTTAAGATCATGATAAATTGATTTTTGAGGGCTCTAATTTTATTTTTCTAATATCTACTTATAATTACTATTATTATATTAGCTTTCTCTTAGGGAACAGTGTCCGCCTCTCTCTTGGTGTATATACTGGGGTTCTGACATAATCTTATTTTCCTACTTTAGGACCTTCCCCACTCTGCCAAAGCAAATGGTTCATTGTTCCAAAACAGTCTCCCTTTAGATATACGATTGTCTCGTAGATTAGTTAAAATCCACAGTACTTATATAAGAATCCGGTCAGTGCAACTAAATTATAGCTCTGTGAATTTAGGCACAAATGCTATATTTGAAATGTCAAGCTTAGCTGGCTTTTTAAACACAATTGACATAGAATTGCAGGTTACTTGTACAAGGGCAGCTCCAGCCCACAACACCCTGGCATTTCCCCCAAAATGCCAAGACGACTTTCAATCCCATCAGAGAAGTGCCAGGAATGCCTTCCCAGTGCAGTCTGAGGGATGGGACCTGATCTGGCCTGAGCCCCTGCTGCTACAGCCTGCTGGAGCCTGCAGGCTTCAGCTGCTATTCTTCCAGGGCTGGAGGAGAGAGACCCGGCCCCTGAGGGTCAGTGGCTGCTGGAATACCCACTACCCATGACTCCTCATCTGTCAGTGGGCAGATGAGGTGGCGAGTGGCTGTGATCCTGTACTGTCTCGTGGAATCTAGGAAGGGGAGCACGTTGTTGTTCAGCTTTTGTTCCACTTCAGCTGGTGAATTCACGTAGTGAAGTCCTATTCATCTAGGGGGAGAGCATCTGCTTTTGTTTCACCTCTGGAATTAGGAACTTAGCCTTTAGTCAAACTAAGGTGGTTTTTAGTAAGAATCAGCCTATTTCCCAAGAGCTGTTAATTTTGGGGAAACTGCTCGTAGAGAGTGGTGCTAGTCTCCAACACAGTAAACCCCAGAGCTCCAGGGAAGAGAACGTCCGCCTGCTCCTTACAGCTGATTGGCGTTCTTTGTCAGGTTAGGTTGGGAAGAAGGGTGGCTACTGCTGGTCTTCAAGATTCCTTTTCCTGGAGAGGTCTGATTCTCATTTGGGGGCTGGATTAATCTGTCTTCAGTTACTGCTCTGATCAGCCACTTGATGACATCCCTGCAATGGAGAAAAAGATAAAAAAGAAAGTTTAAACTTCTGTCTTACTGTTATGGTGCTCAGAACTGCAGCTTTAACATGGACTCCTAGACACCTAGATTTCCCTAAAGGCAAGAGAAAGGGGCACTGAGGCTATTTTGAATATTTTACAAGCCTAATGGAAACCCTACATTTAATTGCAGGAAGTTACAAAAGATGAGTAAAATGTCAACATTTTTCTTTAAGTTAGCATTATTGAAAGGTATCTCCAAGGTTAGAGAGTACTATCTGTGGCTTCCCGAGCAGGAACATTCCTTGACAAGGCAGAAAGCTGGACTAGACGACCTCGTTGGCTTCCTATTATTAGCCTAATAACCAAAGTTTACGGTATGTTCAGTGCAGTCATACCTTGTACAGGGTGTAGGCGCTCAGCATTAGTAAGATAAAAGCTTCTGATACAGTCCACATCTACTTTTGTTGCCTTCTAAAATTTAACTAATAGTAAATAATTTTTTAAAAATCCACAAAGAAGGGAAGAAAAGGAAGGCAGATAATAACAGCAAAAATCTGGAAGTTGAAAGGAAAATTAGTATTTCACAAAACAGAATATTATATGGTAGTGGAAATGAATAAGCTACAGTGGATAGGTAACAATATGGACAAATTTTAGTACACTATAACATTAAGTGAAATAAAAGTACCAATTGATTATATATAGCATGATACTCTTTTATATACAGCTAAAAGGAAATAGAATAAAAATATATACTTCACAGGAACACATACAGATGCAATAAACTACATAAAGAAAGGGAAATGATGAATATTTGGGATGCCAATTACTTTGGATGCAAAAAGGTGCAAAAGTGGGTGATAGGATGGATAGATGGTTGCTGCTGCTGCTAAGGCACTTCAGTCGTGTCCAACCCTGTGCGACCCCATAGATGGCAGCCCACCAGGCTCCCCCATCCCTGGGATAGATGGTTAGATGTAGGTAATTGTCAAGGTCCTATCCTTTGATTTAAGGGGTGGGGTAAGAGATGCTGATTACAAAATTCAGAGTAACCAATTAGCCAAGTAAATAAGGCAAATGTCATATTTAGATGATGTTTAAACTAACTCTATACCTTTGGCAAAGGGATACATTTGAACTGACGTGGCAGAATTGAGGAAGCTGAATACTAAGCCACCAGTAGAGAAGAGTAATCCTATTTAAAAGGCAGTACAAGGTTTCCATGAAGTTAGGATAAAAGAGGGTAAATTAAAAAAATAAATAGAACGGTTTATAATCTGTTTAAGAAACTTTTAGAGTCCTAGATCTTCTTTTCCAACCCTGGAGACTACAGGTTAACTCTGTGGAGAGATAAATAGGGTCTCTGGACTAGGATATCAGGCACAGCTGGGAAACAAAAGGCATCAAAGCAAAAACAGGGGCGTTAAGTGAAACTGTGCATGCTCAGTGCAGAGATCCTTGCCATCTTCCCACACCTACTTTCAAAAACCTGGCATCCTGGTCTCTATCCTTCACGGAGGAGATCTGAAGTCTTTTCTGGAAAACCTATCTAGCCCAAGAGGAAAGATCTAAAGTCACTGACAAGGTATTTTCTAAGAAATGAGAAGCCGGTTCCACCTGCAGGAAAACTCAGAAATGACAAGTCCCCACCTGTACTCAGAGCTTCCATCAGCTTTTGAGATGCCCTTAAACATGAATAGAGCACCAGATTTTATCTATGGACATATTCCAGCATAAGAGATAAAGGAAAAAACCCCAAACCAACCCTCCTCTCTCCTCAAAAAAGCAACTTGGATAAAACAGACATTATACAGAAAAATAACAAAAACTATCATTAGTAACATCAAAGACATGAAAAGACACAGATCCATGAAAGAAAAAGACAAGAACAGATTCCTATTTATTAATTTTAAAAAGGAACATTTAAAGAAAAAGTAAAAGAGCTTTTGGAAATGAAAAATATGGTAACAGCAATGAAAACTCTATTTTCCAGAAATGAAGGATATGAAATGGCCCACTGAATGCCCAGCATAACAGATGAATATAGACCTAAAACAAGTATATTGGGCAAAAAGAAGAGTCTGCAAACATCCAGAGAAAAAAATCAAGGCACATACAAAGAATCAGTAATCAGAGTAGCCTATGGCTTCTTAACAGCAAGAAGCTAGAAGACAATGGAAAATTCGGAAAATTTCCTTTAATATTCTGTAGAAAAGTTGTTTGTAACCTAAATATCTATACTCACATGAATCATTGTGTGGAAGATAAAGATATTTTCAGACATATAAAAGCTCAAAAATTTTACTTCCCACATACCTTTCTAAGAAGCTACTGGAGACTGATCCATCAAAACAAGGGAGTAAACCAAAAAAGAAAAGATATGAAACATATCCAACACTGGGAACAGGTGAAGAGAATTTCACATTTATGACAGAGACTTGGCAAAGAGGACAGCCAATCCAGGTTAAAGGAGGTCAAAGTACTCCACAACAGACCTTCAAGAAGAACCTCGTAAGTGTGAACAAACATCTTGACAGGGTATTTAAATTAAATGGCAGATAATTTGGGGCTGACTTCTGATATGCAAAAGAATAGGAGGAAACTAAAAATGAGGTAATTATTAACTCTACAGAAAAGAAAAAGTTATGAGTGGAAGGAAAAGTAATCATAGTTTAGTACTGGGCTCAACTCTGACTAGCACACAGTTATAGTGATCAGAACATCACATACTGATCTAAACAGAATTCTGATATAGCTATATTATGGTATGGGGGCTGGGAAGTTTGTGTGTGTGTGTGTGTGTGTGTGTGTGTGTGTGTGTGTGTGTGTGAGGAGGGAGAGAGGAAAAAGAGCTAACTCCTCATCTTTCAGGTGGTGAGCTAACAGTGGACTGCGAGGAGATCCAACCAGTCCATCCTAAAGGAGATCAGTCCTGAGTGTTCACTGGAAGGACTGATGTTGAAGCTGAAACTCCAGTACTTTGGCCACCTCATGCAAAGAAATGACTCATTTGAAAAGACCCTGATGCTGGGAAAGACTGAAGGTGGGAAGAGAAGGGGATGACAGAGGATGAGATGGTTGGATGGCATCACTGACTCAATGGACATGAGTTTGAGTAAACTCTGGGAGTTGGTGGTGGACAGGGAGAGCTGGCGTGCTGCAGTCCATGGGGTCGCAAAGAGTCGGACACGACTGAGTGACTGAACTGAACTGAACAGTGAAACATCAATAATTTGCAACACAAGCAAGTATTCAGCCATGAAGAAGTTAAATCCAAGGAATCTCTTAAATGAAAGAGTTGAAAGCAGTTACCCCTGTGGGAAAAGAAAATGTGGGTGAGGTCATCTGGGGACAACAATATTTCTTAAATTGTGTAGAACCAGATTACTCTTTGTAAGCACAGTTAAAAAGAAAAGAAAATCCCTTAAGGGAGACTGACTTACCACCACTCTCTTTTGAAAGCTTATCTTTGAGGTATAACTTATATAAAATAAATTACACACTGGTTTTTGTTTAACGAGTTTTTTTTAAATTTTAAGACAGAAAACGGAAATTTTATTTGCGCAAAGCTGAGGATTACAACCCAGGAATAGCTTCTTCTCTGACAACTAAAGGTCATAGCACAGTTATATCCTTTGATGTTTTGATAAATATATGCACATATCCATGGACCACAACCTCAATCTAACAGCCATCTCTCATTGAATCAAAGGGCTTCCCTGGTGGCTCAGATGGTAGAGTGTCTGCCTGCAATGCACGAGACCCAGGTTTGATCCCTGGGTCGAGAAGATTCCCTGGAGAAGGAAACGGCAACCCACTCCAGTACTCTTGCCTGGGAATCCCATGGACGGAGGAGCCTGGCAGGCTACAGTCCACAGGGTCACAAAGAGTCGGACGTGACTGAGCGACTTCAATTTAGTTTTAGTTTTTTATTGAATCAAATACAGCTTGTTTTCCCTCCAGCTGGAATTGACTTTTTTCACTAAGCACAAAATAGTGTATTTTATTTGCATTTAGAGGTCATAAATTCCCATGTTTAAACTCAAGAGCATAGTGTTGGATATACTGAGAGGCTTACACCCTGAAAGGTGGAAATGAAAGTCAGCAATTTGTTAACAGATTGAGTTGGGTTCATGTCTCCCATCTCCCAATTCAATGCCTAAGCTCACAAAGCAGAATGGTCAGGAGAGCTGCTGTCACTATTTAAATTGTTGTTTTTCAATTTTACACCCAATTACGCTATCCTGTGCTCTCTGTAGTTTCTCTACTTACTGATTTTCTACCCCCTATAATTAACATTTAAACTTTACATAAAATGCCACATCCACAGAAATGGATAGAAGCATGCAAACTAAGGGAGAAAAAGCCATTGTCGTTATTGCTCAGTCACCCAGTCGTGTCTGACTCTTTGAGACCCCATGGGCTGCAGCACGCCAGGCCTCACTAGCCCTCATCATCTCCCAAAGTTTGCCAAAGTTCATGTCCATTGCATTGGTGAAGCCATCCAGCCATCTCATCCTTTGATGCCCTCTTTTCCTTCTGCCGTCAATTTTCCCAGCTGACTGATACTCAAAAAAATAATGAAATGTCCTTCCTTTTTAATTAAAGGAATTATAATAGTCAATATCCCATAATGGCCTGTGAAAACTATTCTTAACAAATATGCAAGAACATATGAGAATGTATATATGACTGAAAAAAATCTCAGTGATGTTTTGAAAAAAGGAATGCTGAAGAGAACCGTTTCCAAAAGAAACAAAAGAAGGGGGTAGTTCCAGGATGAAAATTCTAGTCTGAGATCCCTACCCTAGAAGCCACATGTCCCCCCACTTTTATAAGGATATGGCAGTTTCCCACTCTGAAGCTTCCAGAAGCTTTAGACCTGATTTTACAGAAAAAAAAAAACAATACATGTTTGCTACCTTATTGTATCTTGTTCTATGTAACCTATTATCATAAAAGATTTCTCAGAAAGTAGTAGTGACAAATGAAGTTTATCCTGAGTTACTCAGGGGGGTGGAAATAAATTTAGGCTCATAGCAGTTGTGAAGTTTTATACAAGTTCATGTTTTCCCGGTATCTCATGAGGCTGTCTGAACAATACTGAAACAGATTAAAGGAAGTCTGACGGGCTCAGGAGGAAAAACCACACAAGTTATGGCATCTGACATACAGTTGGTACACAGAGTTTTTTCCCTAGGACTGTCTTTATTTGCCTGCGATCAGGAGACCTGGGTTTGATCCCTGGGTCAGGAAGATCCCCTGGAGAAGGGAATGGCTACCCACTCCAGTATTCCTACCTGGAGAATTCCATGGACAGAGGAGCCTGGTGGGCTAGAGTCCATGGGCTTGCAAAGAGTCAGACAGGATTGAGTGGCTCACACTTTCACTTTCATAGTAATGATATCCATCCCTGTTACATTATCTAGTCACTGGACAGTCTCAGCTGCCCGCTGTGCTCTCGGGACTGGAGGACCTATCACCCCAGGCTGCAGACGCTGCTTACCTGACATTGTGTCTCAGCCGCCCGCTGTACTCTCGGGACTAGAGGACCTATCACCCCAGGCTGCAGACACTGCTTACCTGACATTGTGGGGCTGCTTGTCGCAGGACAGCACAGTGCTTGCAATGGCTTGCTGCAGGTGCTGTCGCTGCCTCCTCAGGATCTGCTGGAAATCATCTTCCAGGGTCTGTACGACATAACGCAGAAAGAAGACTCGCCCGGGCAGGTTTTGTCCCTTGGGGAGAAAAAGCGAGAAGTAAGAATTTCCTCTGTCTCCTGGATAACACACCACTGGGCTCTCATAAACACTAAGTCAAGGGAACATACATGGGTCAACAAGTGTGTCTGTGTCTAAAAGCGAGGCTTGTGGGAGAGAGCAAGCAGCCTAGGCTATTACAAAAGAGGGTAAGCGAGGCAATCCTAGAGCTTAAAAAGTCAGTCTTTTTCTCTCACTGAAACTCAGTGATGAACCCCGGGCTCAGGATAGGCCCCAAGCTGTGTATATCTGGAGAGACAGACAGAAAAATGACTGCTAAGCTGCTAGATCAAACCACCATGATCTTTATCCCACTGCTAAACATGAGCTGATGCACAGTCTATTGTTTAAGCAACGCTGAGATGGGTTTTTTGTTACAGGTGAAAGGATCCTAATTGCTAAAGCCCAGCTAATGCAGGTAAAGAGCATGGGCTTTGGTGATGCAGAGACCTCATGTATCTCTTTGAAATTCAGCCCCATTCCTTACTTAACTTACTGCTCTGCGTCTCGGTGTCCTCATGATCCACATGGTGACGACCCTAGCCTTACCAAAGCCAGGCAGGCATGCACAGTCTGTTGGTTCCCTTTTACTGATGAAGAGACCTAACTCTGGCCTTGTTCTATTTGTTTTCTAAAGGTCTTACAGCTTTTTGGTCCCTCATTGCCTGCACCACTATCTTTTGTCTTTAGTTGATTTTTTAGGTAATGAAATGCTTATATTCTTTTCTAACTGCCTTTTCTGTACATTCTATAGCTAGTGTCCTTGTGGTTACCATGGGGATTACATTTAACATTCTAAAATTATAATACTTTGAATTTATACTAGGTTCACTTCAATAACACACAAAAGCTTAGGTCTTTATGGCTGTGTTCCCACCCGTTTTAGTTAGTCACAGAACTACATTGTGTGACCAAAAATAAACTAATAATTCTTTAAAACAATTTTTGGTTTATTTATTTAGTTTTGGCTGCCCTGGGTCTTCACTGCTGTGCTCAGGCTTTCTCCAGTTGCTGCAAGTGGGGGCTACTCTCTAGTTTCGACACATGGGCTTCTTGTGCTGACGACTTCTTCTGTTGCAAAGCACGGGCTCCAGGGAGCACGGGCTCCAGTAGCTACAGCTTGCAGGCTCTGAGCGTGGGCTCAGCAGCTGTGACACAGGGGCTCAGCTGCCCATGGCATGTGGGGTCTCCCCAGCCCAGGGACGGAGCCCGCATCGCCTTCATTGGCAGGCGATTCTTAACCCCGGGACCACCAGCGAGGTCCAATAATTCTTTCTGGTTCTTTTCAATCTTTCAAATTATGTAGAAAACACAATGTGGAGTCACAAAGTTAAATAACACTAGCTTTTAGATTAATAATTTAAATATGTATTAGTCAATTAATACATTATAGAAAACCAATGTGGAGTTACAAATCACTGTCACAATAGTTTTTATAATTGCCCATGTCTTTATCTCTACTAACATCTATTTCTTCATATGTCTTCAAGTTACTGTTTAGTGTTTCATTTTAGCCTGCAGGACTTCTTTCAGTGTTTCCTGCTTGGCAGGACTAGTGGGAATGAATTCCCGCAGCGTTTGTTTTCTGGGAGTATCTTTACCTCTCCCTCATTTTTGAGGGACAGTTTTGTTGGATACAGGAATGTATCACCCCACTACCTACTAGCCTCATTTCCTATGAGAAATCTTACTGAGGATCTTGTATTGATGTGTCACTTCTCTCTAGATGCTCACTCATTTCTTGAAGGCAAGTTTTGCCAGATACGCTATTCTTGGTTGACAGCTTTTTTCTTTTAGAACTTTGAATACATCATCCCATTACCTTCTGACCTACATGGCTTCACTGAGAATTTGCTGAGAGACTTATACAAACTCACTCGTATGTGATAATTCACTTTTTCCTTGCTGCTTTTAAGTCTGACTTTTGACAGTTTGATTATAACGTTTCTTGGTGTGAATCTCTTTGGTTTATCCTCGTTGGTGTTAACCTTCTTGAATTTGTACGTCTATTTCTTTCCTCAGATTTGGGAAGGTTTTGGTCGTTAAGCTCTCTGCCCCCTTCCCGTTTCCTTCTCTGGAGCTCCTGTAATGCATATGTGCCCGTTTAATGGCGCCCCACAGCCCCTCAGGTGCTCCTCAATTTCTTCACTCCTTTCTTTTTGCTCCTCTGTCTCAATGATTTCAAAGACCTTTCTTCATGCTCACTGATATTTTTTCCTCCTGCCTGATCAAAACTGTTGTTGAACTCCTCTAGTGAATTTTTCAATTCAGTTATTATACTTTTCAGGTCCAGAATATGTTTGATTATTATCTAGAGTTTAAAAATTTAATATTCTCATTTTGTCCATGCATCATTTTGTTTGTGTTCTGCTCTCCCTGAGCAGCGGAGATTTGCATTTCTTTAGGGTCACTTTCTGGAACTTTATTTCATTCTTTTGATTGGGCCACACTTCCCTGTTTCTTTGTGTGCCCTGCAATGCTCTTTTGAGATTTAAACATTTGAAAAAGAAACCAACTTTCCCAGTCCTTATGCATTGAGTTCATGCAGGGCAGGGCCCTTAACAATCAGTCTGGCTAAAGGTCCTTAGCGCTCTCAGAACTTTTCTGGAGATGTGTTTTCTCTGAGCTGTGTGTGTGCTTTTATCTGTCTTAACTACCCAAGCAGCTTGCCCTTGTTTCTTCTCAAGAGCCCACAGTCTCTTGCTCCCTGTTTATGGAAATATATACTCTCTGAAGCTCTAAAATGCTGCAGTGCTCACCTTTCTTTTCAGCCAGAAAACTAAGCCAGGGTTTTCAATAGTGTTCTGAATCAGGTGAGACAAAAACTATCCCCATGACCAGCCAGAACACGGGACTTGATGTTCTCTCCTCGGTTTGCATCCCAAGGGTATGGGAGACTTCCTCCCAGTAGCACCGTGCTAGGCTGGGCAGGGAGGTGCATGGACACACAGCAATACCAAAAACTTTCCTGCTCCTTTCAGTGGAGCCCCTTCTTGGCTGTGCTCTGGCCTGCGCACTGCAACTTCTCAACTGGTTTCTAGAGTTTTCACAAAGGTATTCCGGTCCATATATTGTTATTAAGTTGGTGTCTCCAGTGGGTAACAAGGGCCTGGAGCGTCCTCGTCTACCATCTTGGTGGTGTTTCCCAAGTCATCCTTTCTTAAAGCCCTGTGCTTTTTTTGCTCCAATCTGGAGTGACTCTTTAGTTCTACTATTTGTGGTAATCTCAGGACTTCTCTTTCTTACTCTTCTGGATTAGGTCCAGTGTCCTTTGGATCCTGTGCCTCTTCCTTTTTTGATTTCTCCCCTATCCTTTGTATGCATATCTTCAAGTAACCTATGAAATGGGGTGTATGAATATTTTTTCAAGCTTATACATGTCTGGAAATGTCTTTATTCCACCCTCACACTTGATCAATAGCTTGGCTGACTACAGAATTCTAAATTGATAACAATTTGTTCCATCCATGTTCTTTTGGGTAAGTAGACAGAAAGCTGGCAATTAAGCTCGGGGATCCCTAAAGGTCAGAATGTAGACTTTTTTCTGCAGCACCAACTCTACCCTGAAAGAAAGTGAAAGTGAAGTCGTGTCTGACTCTTTGTGACCCCATGGACTGCAGCCCACCAGGCCCCTCTGTCCATGGGATTCTCCAGGCAAGAATACTGGAGTGGGGTGCCATTTCCTTCTCCAGGGGATCTTCCCGACCCAAGGATCGAACCCGGGTCTCCTGCACTGCAGACAGAAGTTTTACCCTCTGAGCCACCAGGGAAGCCCAATATGAGAAGTCCAAAAATTCTCTGTTCTAAAGGGCAGACTCCCTCCCTCCTTGGCAAGCCCATATTCCAGCCTGTAGCTTTCACTGCCTGGCTTCACCAGTCAGCACTTTTATGTTTCCTTTAGCTTTTCCAGTCTTCATTCAAGCCTTTTGTCTTTCCCCTTATTTTCAGCACCATAGGTTCATAACTTCTTCTATTCATTTACTGTTATTTTAAGTGAAATCTTAAGAAGGGGAGGGATAAGTGAGCATATTCAATCTTGAATCGGAAGGCAGCACATTCCATTTCAATAGAAATATTTTGGTCTGGATCAGGGGGGTAAAAGGTAAAAGGAAGGAATAATGGCAAAGACCGTACTACCAGATTTACTGTCACTTTTGTTTCTAGTTAAAACTACCTGTGCAAAAGATTTCTGCATGCAAATTGTTGTTACCTCTTCCTCCATGACATAAGCGAGCAGCTTCCAGTCCCACTCCACCGTCTTGGCATTAGCTGGATGTAGCCTGAAAGTCAAGTGACAACAGTTAGGATTCTGGAGATTTTAGTGGAAGGAAGGATGGGATCTGGAGGACAGTAGAAGCGAGAGAAGACGACAGACGATGACAGAAGCGATAGAAGACAACAGAAGCGATAGAAGACGACAGAAGCGATAAACGACGACAGAAGTGACAGAAGACAACAGAAGACGACAGACGCGCTAGAAGACAACAGACGATAGAAGACAGCAGAAGCGATAGAAGACAACAGAAGCAATAAAAGACAACAGAAGCGATAAAAGTGATAGAAGATGACAGAAGCAATAGAAGACACAGAAGCGATAAAAGTGATAGAAGATGACAGAAGCAATAGAAGACAACAGAAGCGATAGAAGACAACAGAAGATGACAGAAGCGATAGAAGATGACAGAAGTGACAGAAGCGAGAGGCGTCTTCCTATCCTCAGTGCTCTTGCCCACCCATGTCATCTGGGGGAAGTGGAACTTCATTTTCTTTTTCTGGCTACCTAGTATCTACTTTCTTTTGGGAGGCATTAGCACTCCAATTTTGCCTTGAAGAAATCAACTCTTTATTACTCTTAGCCCAGTGGCTTTCACCCAATAGGACACTGGGATGAAGCCCAAGAAGCATGTTGAGCTAATCATGATATTCTGTCCCACAGTTCACATGACAGATAGACTCATGTCTTATGTTATGCCAATTAAAACCTGTAAGATTCAATTTCAGAACTCTCGTGTGATTATAAAAGAAGTGGATGCTCTCTTGTATTAAGAGTGTCTGAGAAAGCCACCATATGAAGCCTAGAAACAGAAGCAAAGTAAAGGTGAAAAATGGATACTGGTAACCATTTTGGAGCTGAATTAAGTCACATCTTACTCCTAGGTTTCTAGGTTTTTAGTAACATGTGTCATTAAATTCTCTTTTATCATTAGATAAAGCCAGTTTGAATTGAGTTTCCTGTCATCTACAATCCAAATAATATTAATATACTGTCACCCTCTCTATTGTTTTAGCTGAATAAATCTTAGACAAGAGAAAATTGTGCCCTGAGTCCAGGTTCCCTAAAAGATTTGCCAACAGCCAAGGTCCATACTGTTGAATTTTCATGAGAAGCATGTAGGCCTCCTTCAGAACATCCACAGTCTCAGAGCCACTGAGCAGGATTTTCTGGATGATGTGAGCCACAATTTCTCGGGGCGGGTAGTGCTGGGGTGATACAAAGTCCATCAGAAACTGCACAGTCCCCAAGGGGAAGTTTTCTTCAATGGTGTTTGCTACCATCCTTAATCTTCGATGAGGGATAGGTTCTAATTTTTGACCCTTGTTCTGTAGAAATAAAAAAATAAATAAATTAGGATAGGTTTCTATAGACAAAAACGCAAGAGGTTCTAGAATAAGTTGAAGACAGCATTTGAAATATTCATAATTAGAAAAACTGAGATCGGAAAGCCTTATCTAAAAAACTTCTAATGATATGGGAAATGCTTATATTAAGTTAAATAAGAATTCAAAGTTCTACACGTAAACATGACTTCATCTGTGTTAAAATATAGCATAGAAAGCAAAGTACAAGAATCAAGAGCTAACCTAAGTTGATTTTGAAGTGAGGGTGATAAGATATTTAGGGGTAGTTATGATACTATATCAGATACTGAAACAAAAAGATGAAGAAAGATGTTTTAAATATGTTTTACTATTAGAAGAATTTCATTTTGTTGATTTTTTTTTGAGTCAACAGTAAATATTAAGCTGCTTCACCCCCTGCCCCTATCCCCAAACAGTACGTATATAAAGACTGAGAATGTGTGAAAAAACTTTCCATTGTCTAGGTGGTGAAATGATGGATGCTTTTTCCTCTGTATGTACCTTTGTATTTTTCAATTTTTCTGTAATAGACAAATAATCAGAAGAAAAGCAAATGCTAAAAACACTGATATAGGAATAGAATAATAACAATAATTATAATAACAATCTTTTTAACATCTAACTTATTCTCACTTAATTCTTACAACTCTAAGAAATACATACTATTATTATTCCTATTTCATACATAAGGAAACAGATTTAGAGAGAAAGCCCTTGTCATGCAACAGAAGTTGGTTTCATATGGTGCTATTAGTTCAGAGCTACCCTCTACATTCATACTCTATATAAACAACAAAGACAAAAATAATATATTTTTGTTAAAATCCTCAATTATTAAAAAACTTAAAGTGCCTACAGAAAGGCCAAAAGGAAGAAAATATACCCAACTATTAATATTAATAAATGCCAACTGATAGCATCATGTGGCTAAGTATTTTTTAATATTGTATATTTTTAGATGTTTTATACTAAGGAAGCAAGCATTATTCAAAATCTGAGAATAAGCATTAATTTTGAAACACCAACTAGACAAAATTTTGACAGCTTATGTGTAACAGTAGAATAGTGATGGCTAGAACTGCCCTTCCAGGCACAGGGCCGTGAGCATCTTGGAGGGAGGAAGTCCAGCTAGCTTTCTTACGTCTCAAGCCACCTAAGCGTAACTCCTCTGATCTCACGGCTGAGACACCAACACTGTAAATAGCACGTAATAAGACTTAAAAGCAAGAGAAGAACGAAAATCTTGCTCTGGTGACTATTTTATGTGTGATGCACTTTATGATCTTGAAACTGTATTATTCATTACTTGCCTACAAATGGGGACCTCTACAAATTTTAGATAAAGTTTATAAATTGTTGTAAAGCCCTTTTCCTTAAGGGGAACGACTATTTATAGAGCATTTCTATAAATGCTGAAAGGTTGCTTTGTGCTTCCGTGTGTTTACCTTTAAGCCAAACAATGACATGATACAGGTGCTATGGCCCATTTCAGAGCTAAAGAAAAAGAGACTCAGGAATTCAGGCTGATTGCTGGCAAGTGGCAGCACAGAACCTGGCTAAGAAGGCACTGGGCGAATCTACTAAACAGCTTAGAAACCAGCTTTTAGGGGTTCCACATAGAAACCCCTATATAGGGGATTATATTCAATATCTTGTGAAAACCTATAATGGAATATAATCTGAAAAAATAATGGACTCACTTTGCTATACACTTGAAACTAACATGATATTGTAAACCAACTATATTTCAATAAAAATATTATTAGAGCCATCCTAGTAGATGTGATTTTTTTTTGCAGTTCCCTAATGACTGGCTTGACTTTCCTGGTGGCTCAGATGGTAAAGCGTCTGCCTACAATGTGGAGACCCGAGTTTGATCCCTGGGTTGGAGAGATCCTCCGGAGAACGGAATGGCAACCCACTCCAGTACTCTTGCCTGGAAAATCCCATGGACAGAGGAGCCTGGTAGGCTACTGTCCATGGGGTTGCAAAGAGTCGGACACAACTGAGCAACTAAACTTTCTAATGATTGGCTTAAGACCCAACATTCAAAAAACTACGATCATGGCATCTGCTCCCATCACTTCATGGCAGATAGACCGGGAAACAATGGAAACAGTGACAGACTTTATTTTCTTGGAATCCAAAATCACTGCAGATGGTGACTGCAGCCATGAAATTAAAAGACGCTTGCTCCTTGGAAGAAAAGCTATGACCAACCTAGACAGCATATTAAAAAGCAGAGACATTACTTTGGCCACAAAGGTCTGTCTAGTCAAAGCTATGGTTTTTCCAGTGGTCATGTATGAATGTGAGAGTTGGATCACAAAGAAAGCTGAGCACTAAAGAATTGATGCTTTTGAACTGTGGTGTTGGAGAAGATTCTTGAAAGTCCCTTGGACTGCAAGGAGATCAAACCAGTCAATCCTAAAGGAAATCAGTCCTGAATATTCATTAGAAGGACTGATGCTGAAGCTGAAACTCCCAATACTTTGGCCACCTGATGTGAAGAACTGACTCATTTGAGAAGACCCTGATGCTGGGAAAGATTGAGGGCAGAAGGAGAAGGGGCACCAGAAGATGAGATGGTTAGACAGCATCACCTGCTCAATGGACATGAATCTGAACAAACTTCGGGAGACAGTGGAGGACAGAGGAGCCTGGCGCCACAGTCCGTAGGGTCACAAGTTCAGACATGACTTAGCGACTGAGCTGCAACAAAGTGAGGTCTCCAGTGCTGGCTTCTAAGTGTGAGGCTGAGTTTGAACCCGGCCCTGATTCTACATGGGATGGTTCCACAAACGGGAGAAAGATAAAAATGTGAAACTCAACAGATCCTGTTCTGTCACGTGTGGACCCCCTTGAGCATATACAAGGCCTATACAAAGGACACTTGATCCCCAAGGGACGGCATGTCAGCTCACCTCTCTTGTGTCTTTATCTGGTATTAGTGTCTGGAAGAAGAGGTGATGCACCGGAGGGCGTAAGAAGTACTTCAGTCTATGTAGGCACGGTCTGTTGTACAACCCGCCTTGTGGTATCTGTGCCTGCATCAGGGCACACCCGGGGTTGACAGGCTCTGACAGCGATCTCTCTTTTCTGGCTGGATTTTCTGTGGCAGAGATCCAAGGAACTTTCTCTAAGGAAGTCTCAAACTCTGGGGATGGTGGGCTGGGAGAGGAGCTTGGAGAGGATGGAGTCGAGACATCCATAGGGGTGTCATGGTTCTGTATGTCGTTCTGGGGAGAGGCAGGCCTGATTTTTGGTAAATGAGGTCCAACTGTGGGTGGCATGTCTTCCAACAAGCATGACATGTCCCCAGGGGAATGCAGCACGTTTCCTGATAAGCGTGCAACGTCTCTAGATGAATGTGGTACACTTGCTGGTGACGGTGGCGCATCTCCTGGTAACGCTGGCACATCTCCTGGTAATGCTGGCATATCTCCTGGTGACGGTGGTGTATTGACGGGTGACTGTGACATATCTGCTGGTGGCTGTAGCATGCTGACCAGGGACGGTGGCGTGTCTCTTGGTGACTGTGGCATGTCTCCTGATGACTGTGGCGTATCTTGTGGTGTCTGTGGCATGTCTTCCAGGGACTGTGGCATGTCCTGCAAATGGGCCACATCTTCCAGACATGATGTATTCTGAGGTGGACCTGGTACATCTTGAGGTAGGCCCAGTGAGTGTTGAGGTGGGCTTGGTGAGCGCTGAGGATGCCATGATGAATCACGAGGTGGACTTGGCATATCCTGCTGGGGGCCTGGCACATTCTGAGGGCAGGGCATGTCTTGAGGAGGACATGGCTCTTCTTGAGGCAGGCGAGGCAAAGTTTGTAGCTGGTACTGCATGGTTTGTGACGGGCATGACAAGGCTCGTGGTGGGCATGAGGAGGCTCGAGGTGGACATGGTGAGGCTCGCAGTGGGCATGGCAAGGCTTGTGGTGGGCATGGCAGGGCTATCCTTTGATTGCTACTGCTACTATTATTGCTGGTTTGGGGGAGGGAGTGAATATTTGAAGAGGGTTGTAGGTTTGCCAAGAAGCTGACGTCACCTTTGAATATGGTTGAGCTACAGTTCGGCTCTACTGGGTAAACAGAGTCCCCACTGGTAGACATGGGCAGCTGGGGACCTTCGAATGCAGTTTCTTCCAAAAGGTCCAAATCCACAGGATCACTATTGATGATTCTCCGTGCTGCAGGCCTAGAGCTTCTGTCCACCCACCCTTCCGTTATCTCTTTGTTGGAGAGGCTGACACATGCTTGAAGACTGGCTGGCTCTTTCTGGGAAGGAGCAACAGGTTCTAGAGTCAAGTCAAGAGTGGCAATAGGTCTATTTTCTTCTTCAGATCCTGTCAGGTCAATCACACAGAGTCCACTGCGATCCTTTACCCTTGGTCTGGTTTCTCTAGTTAAGTCAATGACGTCCTGTTGAAGGATTGTGAGAAGATAAGAGGTTAAGCGGTGGGATTCTTAGCTTTATCTAAGAGGACTTAAAGCTTAGCTTTTAAGACTAAACCTATTTTACCTTTTCATTTCACTGACAATTTGCATATCTTGTATAACGTAAGTATTAGTTTATTTTCTTTGGTCAAAGTTTCACTGTTGTCAAAGCTGCCAACTTCCATACCTTCTTAAATTACCCAAAGGCCATAGCACAGAACAGAGGGCACAGAGGGAAATGGTTTATGGTCCATGATGGACAGGGGAGCAGTAGGGAAGATTTCAACCTTAAGGCAAAGTGAAAAGCAACCTTTGGAAAAACAAATACACAGGATAATCTACAACAGAAGTGAAAGAAAGGAAGCTAGTACAAGAGAATCTACTTTGTGCTAAGAACATGGTGAATGCTTCCATACATCTTTAATTTTCACAGTTACCCTATCAGGAAGGCATTTTATCATCAGGAAGGCATTATCATCTCCATTATACAGATTGGGAAACTAGAGTTCAGAGGGTTATGAATTATTTAGCCATGAAGCAGAGAAAGACACTCAAACCCAGGCCTGTTTCTTTCTTTTCCTGTTAGGCCCTAAGATATACAACCTCATTCAATGTATAATCAGCTTATAGGCAGATATGGAGGATAATACAATATGGGTTATAAACCTAACAGTGTCAAGTTTAAGTATACATTAATTGCAAAAGTATCTTCTATCTTCACTACCACTCCTTGGCAAAACGATTAAGCAGTTCACGAAGCCTAATGACGCTAGTCGGAGGCACTTAAACAACCTGTGTCGGGAGCCAGGAACAATGCTGCTCTGTCTTCCAGGCATCTCTTCACCTGGTCGGGTGCCACTGCCTCTGGTACATTAGGTAGCAACTGCTGGACTACCAATGCTATTGCTGCTGCCACAGTTTCCACACTGTTTCTTTTAGCAAATGTGATGGTTACCACTGTCAACAGCACCAGAGCTGAACACAGGATTCTGGGTGAGTCAAGCGAGAAGTTGGCATGCATCTCCTACTGGAACAGGGACTGCTTGGTGAAACCGAATGCCTCATTCCTAAGAAGCAGCCATAGAGTATCACTGCCTCTCTACTGCTAGCTGAACTCAACATAAATAGCTATAAGGGTCTGAATTCAACTCCTCTGCCATGGCCAATTCGTAAAACACAATATTATCATGTCTCTCTCACTTAAAACCCATCAGTGTATGACAAAACCCACTACAATATTGTGGGGTAATTAGCCTCCAACTAATAAAAATAAATGAAAAAAAAAAAAAACAACCCACACTATGAGGTACAGGATAAAGGACAAAGGCCTTAGTAAGACTCTTGAAAAAGCTGAAGTCCCTCAGTCGTGTCCCACTCTTTGTGACCGCATGGACTATACAGCCTGCCAGGCTCCTCTGTCCATGGAATTCTCCAGGCAAGAATACTGGAGTGGGCAGCCTATCCCTTCTCCAGGGGATATTCCCAACAACAGGAATCGAACTGGGGTCTCCTGCATTGCAGGTGGATTCTTTACCAGCTGAATTAGAGTCCTTCATAATTTAGGGTCTTCCTGATTACTCTTCCTCCTCATTTGAGCAAATCGCATAGAAATACTTCAGATCCTTAAATATGCCATGCTTTCTCAGTATTCCTATCTTTATGTTTGCTTATGGTTCTTTCTTTTGCCTGGAATGACTATAATTTGTTTGTTTGAATGTTTGTTGTCTTTCAAGACTCAGGACAGATATCACTGTGTTTGAAAATTCTTCCAGACCACTTCTGGTCTCAAGTTAAATTATTTGTTTCCTTCCTTATATCCCTACTGCATCTGTGCAAACTTTTTTCTTTTTAAAGAAGGACACTTCTTTTTTTAAAATTTATTTTTAATCGGGGGAAAATTGATTTGCAGTGTTGTGTTGGTTTCTACCATACAGCAATGCAAATCAGCCATAATTATACATACATCACCCTCCTGAAGAAACACTTTTAAAAAATTATTTATTTGGTTGCACCATGTCTTAGCTGCAGTATGTAGGATCTAGTTCCCTGACCAGGGATTGAAGCCAGGCCTCCTGTATTGGGAGCAAGCAGTCTTAGCCACTAGACCACCAGGGACGTCCCCAAAGCTTTTCTTTTAATCCCAAAGAATTTGATGCTTTTAAATGATACTGAAAATGGAAATTTTTTTCATTTTCCAATTATTCATTGCTAGTATAAAGAAATACTAGTGATTTATGTATGTGTATTATCTCTGTGTCCTTTGACCTGGCTAAGTAACTTTTTTTTGTAGATTCCTTAAGGTTTTCCATATAAGAAATCATGTCATAAATAAAAGTTTTACTTCTTCCTTTTCAATCTGCCTTTTATTTCCTTTTCATCACCACTGCAGTGGCTAAGGCATTCAGTACAATTCTCAATAAAAGTGTTGAAAGCAGACGTACAAGACTTTAATCATTAAGTACCATGTTAGCTGTGTTGTTTTCATAGATGCCCCATATCATGTTGAGAAAGTTTCTTTATTTTGTTTTCTGAGAGTTTTAATTGGGAATGGTCATTAGTCATATGATTTTTCTGTACCTGATATTTTATGATTTTCCCTTGTACTACTAATGTCAAAAATTATACTCATTGATTTTCTAACGTTAAATTAGTCCTGGGGAAAACCCCACTTGGTTATAATGTATTACTCTTTTTTGACATTGTTTGGTTTAACATATCAATATTTTGTTAAGAATCTTTACATATCCTTGAGGGACATTCAGTTCAGTTCAGTTCAGTCGCTCAGTCGTGTCCGACTCTTTGTGACCCCGTGAATCACAGCACGACAGGCCTCCCTGTCCATCACCAACTCCCAGAGTTTACTCAAACTCGTGTCCATTGAGTCGGTGATGCCATCCAGCCATCTCGTCCTCTGTTGTCCCCTTCCCCTTAGTTTGTAGTTTCCTATTCTTATAACTTCTTTTACTGGTTTTGCTATCAAAATTATATTGACTTTTTGAAGTGACTTGGGAGCTATTCTCATCCCCTCTATTCAGGCTGTGTTGGATTGGTACCACATCTTTCTTCAGTGTTTATAGAAGTGAAGCTATCTGGGCCTAAAATTTGCTTGTAGTTAAAATTTGGAAGACAAAAGGCTATTAACATTTTCTACATCTCGTGTTAATCTTGTGACTTGTGAAACTGGTCTGTTTCATCTAAATTGCCAAATTTATTAGCATAAAGCCAATCAAAATAGTGTTTAATATCTTTTAAATTCTAAACTTCATATAGATTTATCCCCAATTTTTTTAATTCTCAATATTGGTAACTTATATCCTTTGCATTTCCCCCCCGATCAGCCTAGCTAGAAGTTTATCAATTTTACTGATATTTACAAAGGACCGGGTTTTTCATCTTTTCCTTTGTTTCTATGGTTATCATGATCATTTCCTTCATTCCATTTACTGTGGGTTTGACTTTGCCTTTGTCTAACCTCATTCATCTTACACCTATCTTTGGCTGCGCTGGTCTTCACTGCTGCGCCGGGGCCACTCTTCACTGCGGGGCGTGGGTCCTCACCGTGGGGACCTCCCTCGCTGTGGAGGGCAGACTCTGTGGTGCGTGGGCCTCACTGCTCCACAGCGCGTGGAATCACCCTGGACAAGACAGAACCTGTGTCCCCTGAGCTGGCAGGTAGATTCTCATCCACTGCACCTCCAGGGAAGCTCTTCTTCTACCTTCTTAATGTGGAAGCTTAGATAACTTGATTTTTGAAATCTTTCTTTTCTAACAATAGCATTTAAAGCTAAAAATTTTCCTGGAACTACTGCTGTAGCTTCATCCCACAATTTTTAATACAAAGTCATTTTATTATCATGCAGTTCAAGCTTACCTTCACTATGGTCAGAAAACAAAACCCTGTAAGATGTCAATCTTTTGAACTACACTGAGGCTTGTTTTATGCCCTAACACATGGCCTACTTGCTGAATGTTCCTTGTATATTTGGGGGAAAAAATGTGCATTCTGCAGTTGTTGGCTATAAATGTTAATTAGGTCACGGTTGTTGACAATAGCTTTTGGATCTTTGACTTCCTTCACCTTTGAAGGGATGCAGTTGTGCTATTAATTACTGAGTGTATTAAAGTGTCCAACTAAGACTGTGGCTTTGACCATTTTCCCCTTGTGTTCGGTTAGTTTTTGCTTCATGTATTTTGAAATTCTGTTTATTAAGTGTGATAATAAACTTATTTTACCTTCTTAATGTATTAACCTATTCATCATTATTAAAACAATACTTATCCTCTCAAGTGTCCAGCAATCTTCCTTGTACTGACGTCTATTTTTTCTGGTAAATAATAGAGACACTTTCTTATGCATATTGTTTGCCTAGTGTATTTCTATCTTTCTATTTGCCACGTATTTGTGCCTTTGTATTTAAAGTGCACCACATATAAATAGCTCATAGTTGTTATTGCTTTTTTGTCCAATCTGACCACCTCTGCCTTCTGATTAGTTTTTGGTTCATTTACACTTAACTGTTGATATATTTTCTTTTATATTTGCATCCATATGTTTATTTCTTATTTTTCCTATCTGTTCACTCTTCCTCTGTTCTTCCTTTCCCACTCTCCTTTGAGTTAAACATATGTTTTTTGGAATTCCATTTTAATTCCTCTGTTGGGGTTCTAGCTGTATTTTTTTATTATATTTTTATATTTTTAATGGTTACTCAAGGGCTTCCCTAGTGGCCCCGTTGATAAAGAATCTGCCTTCCATGCAGGAGACCTGGGTTTGATCCCTGGGTCAGGAAAAGCCCTTGTAGAAGGGAATGGCAGCTCAATCCAGTGTTCATTCTTGCCTGGAGAATTCCATGGACAGAGGAGCATGGTGGGCTACAGTCTAACTCCTCTCTTCAGCTCTTATTTGGGCTTTCCAGGTGGCTCCAGAAGTAAAGAACCCACCTGCCAATGCAGGAGATGTAAAAGACATGGATTCAATCCCTGGG